GAACAGAGGGAACAGAGAGAACAGAGGGAACAGAGGGAACAGAGGGAACAGAGAGAACAGAGGGAACAGAGGGAACAGAGGGAACAGAGGGAACAACTCACAGACACGAGAGATTCATGTTTTTTTAAAAACGATGTGATGTGTTGACAAACAGCATTTGAACAGGAGGATGATAAGCAACTGAACACATTACCCATGATGCTCTGCTTCCTGACCCAGAGGAGCTGCTGCTGTAACAAACTGTTCAGATTCTTCATGTTTTAAAGTTTCTGCTGAACATTGGAGATAAACTCTGGTTGTTAAGAACTGATCTCAGTTCAGCTTCACTCTTCAGCTGATGGAGACTCTCAGTCACTTGTTCTCTCAGGAGATGAACCCACTCAGCAGAGAGAGAGAACAGACGCTCAGGGAGCGAAGGAGGATAAGAAGAGAAGTTGCTCAGTGTTGCTTTAACGACAGATCTGAGTTCACACCTCGTGTTAAAATGTGTCCTGAATTCATCTCCTGTGATCAGATCTCACTTCCCGTCGCTACATGAAACACGCAAATGATGTCAGTGACTGAAGAGACAGAAAATCCAAACTGTGTTTGTTTCCTCCAGGTACGGAGATAATCCCAGGTTGGTCTGGTTGCTGAACACAGTTCTTACAAAAGCTCGTTTCAGGTTTGATCTAAAGTTTCCCATCAGTCCGTTTGGTACAGATTTCCCAGCGAAACTTATAGTTTGTTATTTAAGACACTTTTATTTATTGTTCTGTATCTGGAGCTCGTGTTGTGTCATTCACCAGGTTAGGGAATGAAAATTGAAGCAAATTAAGCAAAATCAAATCTTAAAAATAGAAATGAGCCCCTTGAATGACAGTAATTCAAACGTATGACTAAAAAAATATCCATGCTCATGAATACACGGAAGAATGTACAGTAAGTCGAGTATTTTTCCTCTTATAAGTAAAAGTATTTCTGACTCTGTTTGGATTTTAATACAAAAATCTTGCTGGAAATGGAAAAAACACCAAGAAACACACAGACAAGTGGATTTAAACAATATTCATCCTCAGGGAGAAAAGGTTTCCTTTGAATTTAACAAAGTGGAATCTCGACAATGTACAAATATAATATTCAACTTCATTTAATGTTGTGGAACGTTTCTCTGCTTGTTGGATGTTGAGCAGGAAACTCTTCCACATTTGTTTATGCTGTTTTGTTTATTTATGGAAATGATTTTCTCATCAGTGGATCCTTTTCTCACTAAGATCCATCGTTCTCCATATTTCAATATATTCAAATGCTGATATATTTGCGACTACAATACACAAGGCATCTGCTTGGTAGATATTTGTGTAGTTCTCGAGCGTCATCGAAGTAAAGCTGCTGAGGAAGTAAAGTTTTCAGTTGTACCCAAGCGTGACTTTATTATTATTTTAAATCTCAAGAGTATTTTATTTTTACTACAGATGCAATAAAACCTGATTTTTTAAAACAGACGTACGAGGGGACGTTTTGAAAAACTCGGAGCATCGTAAAAAATGGGCACAAAAGTTTTTAACTGTCACTTTTTCAAACATTTGGTCAAAGTCATATGATAATATATATAAATATGTGATAAATGTACACATTAAACGTGAATGTAAAAATCTAAATGTATCTAAAAGATTAAATGTTGAAAAGACAAAGAGAAAACATGTATGAGTGTGTAGTACTTTCTGTACTACTGGGATTTGTAATGTAATGTATTTCATTCCAGGCAACTCAGAGGTCGGAGATTCTGCTTCGGTTCTTTAAACTGGGGGTAGATCAGCTCTTAGATGAGCAGAGTTGTACTTTTTGTAGTTTTCTGGTGACTCTTCACCTTCACCAGGTACACAATGACAGCGATCATGTGGTTTTTGACATTTTATCCAATCGGACATGTTCATGTTCAGTTATAACGTTTGTTACAATTCATGGACACAAAAGGAAGATTTGATGTCAGAGTGTGAAATAAAAACCGTTTTGAATTCAGATTGTTTAGATCAGACGTGGACACTCAAATAAAGATCAGACGCGACGGACATGAAAATGTGCCCACATTTACAGCTGATTGTGAAATTACAAGCAAAATGCAGAGAACTTTATATTTCCCATTATTGCTGCAGCCTCTGTTTTTTGAGACGCAGTATTCGTTCCAGAAACCAAGATGAATAAAAACTCAAAGTGAGGCAAAGGTGTCTTGCTGGGATGATTTCATATTTGCATTATTATCTCCATGTAAACTCACGAGGCACACTCCCGTCACAGTTGTTGGCGTGACAACAATTCTACATTTAAAGTTAAAGGTTTATTTCCCAACACGCTCAGAATGAAGCTCAGAAGTTCAGAAGGAGTGAACGCTAACTAAATGAATCCCCCCCCACACACACACACACACACACACACATACACACACACACATACACAGACACACACTGTCTGTGGTAACTCTTTTCATTTCCTTGTTACACACTTAAAAGTCCACGTGTCCATTTTGTGTGTTGTGCGTCACAACATGTTAATCACCTGCGTTATATTTGGTTTTCAAATGAGTCTTTGAGGAGGATACAAGAGTGAGTGTGAGTTCAGAGCCTGTTTCACTGAGACGAGCCTCCAGCACAGCACAGACACAGGAAATCACCAGTAAGTCAAACTCTGTTATTCACATTTACTATACAAGTACTTATAACATATAATATGTGTGCCACTATAATTGTATTTCACCTTTTACAACTGTTGAACATTTTTTGTGTAACTCCAAAAGGACCTGCGGAAACACAACCTGTCGGCGGAGGAAGTCATTTATCTCAGTTACTGGACCACTTCCCTTTTTCTTTTCTATTTCAACAATAAGAATGACACGACCATGTGCAGCATTGTTTGGTCCGAACTCTAATTCTGTCTTTTCTGTTTTTGTCCTTTTGACATAAAATAGAGAAAAGTTGTAAAGATCTGATCAGGCTGAAAAAAACCAGTCATCCAACACAGCAAAGATGCAGTGGAGTCTGTTTCCTCTCATTCTGATGGGTAAGTGCGTCATCTCCACAACACAACTTAACCTGTCTGAGTTTAACACTTTGACTCCTGGACTGTGCAGAAAGATGGACAACATGTCTTCTCCGCAAAAGTGGACACTTTAGGTCTTGAACCCGGACTCCTCCTTTCTGATGTTTGTTCAACTTTTTTCATTTTCCCTGTAACTCAGATTTTAAGTAGATATTTAATCTTATGAAAATGGGATTAAAAGTCATGATTGGTATTTGAGACTGACTTGTGATTGGTCGAGCGTCTCTATCAACGTCGCCTTCATCCCCCTGATCGCTACTGCGCAGACTCCGCCTCCAAACGCGCAAGACAGCCGCATCGCATCCGTGATGTTTTAGCTTAAATTCTGGACAGTGGAAGGAAGTGGAGACACCTCGTCCATCTTTCTTTACAGTCTGAGGTTCGACGTCACAGACCGGTCATTAAATAACTGCACTCAGACTTCAATATAAGTAAATGAGTAAATGAATAAATGAATAAATGAATAAATGAAGTGGCGTGTTGCAACTGAGGCTGGAAATTAAAATGTTGGCAATTTTATCAGCATTAACACTGAATACTATGTTCTTCTATCTGTAGGTCAGTGTTTATTCGTCATGTGTCGACTCTATGAATACCACTTTATAGAGGATAAATTTAACTGGACGGCAGCTCGGAACTACTGTAGAAGTCATTATACAGACCTCGCCACAGCGTATAACGAGGCAGACGTGACAGAGATGAAGAAACTCAATAAATATGAGGCCTGGATCGGACTTTACAACACTCAGACTCCCACAAACATGTGGGAGTGGTCTCAGCCCGGAGTGGAGTTCAGTGGGAGCGAGACAACGGTTGAACATGAGGACGATATGGTCAAGAATTGTGTGTTCATTGAAAAAAGTGGAAAGAAGAAAAGTGATAAATGTAATGAAAAGAAGAAATTCATCTGCTGGAAAGGTGAGAATTCTTTTTTTGTAGATCCGTCCATCTAACATTGTTTAACCTTGTTTTGTATGATGCTTGTTATTCTGTTTATTTTACAGAAGGCTGCTCGTCCTCTGAAAACGAGAAGTGTCAGATGGTGGATATAAAGAAGAGTTGGAAAGAGGCTCAGAGTCACTGTAGAGACAAAGGCATGGACCTGGTCAGTGGAGAAGCACAGATACAAAAAGACATTTCATTAAGCAGGGGTGAAAACGTTTGGATCGGCCTGTTCAGAGAAACCTGGAAGTGGTCAGATGGGAGCAGTTTTAATTTCAGAAACTGGGATCAGCAGAATCCTGACAAGGGTGAATGTGCTTTGATTAAGTCAGAAAAATGGAAGTCTAATGACTGTAAAGAAACAAAACCCTTCATCTGCTATGAGGGTAAGTGGAGAGTTGGTTTGTCTCTTTGTTTCTTGTGAGTTTATTTATTAGAAGGATTCAAATCATATTTATTATAAGAATTGTGTCATTCCAGTTGTTCACATGCTGGTTTAGGAACAAAAGGTCCAAGCAGCAACTTCAGTATTGAACTTTTTAATATTGTTGTGATGATTTTTATTTGAGGCCATGATGGACAAAGTCCTGTGTTTGTTCACGACAGATAAAATTAAACTGATAAAACAAAATAAGACCTGGCAGGAGGCCATGGATTACTGCAGAGAGCACCACAACGACCTGATCTCCATCACCGACGTGCACCAGCAGAGATGGGTCCAAGAGAGAGCCAAGAACGCCCAGACTGAGTTCATCTGGCTGGGGCTGCGCTACACCTGCACCCTGGACATGTGGTTCTGGGTCACTGGTGAGGACTTCATCTATGATAACTGGGAGTCATGTCCACCTACTCAGGGGTGTTACTCAGGGGCAGCCATGAAGACAGACGAAGGGTATAAGTGGGTCACACGGAGGGATAATGAAACGTTTAATTTCATTTGTACCTTATAGAAAGTGTTAAACCCAAAGGAACGCGGTGGGGACACATTTCATATATCTGGGGTATTGTTTCTTTGCTACCAAACTATATATGCACATTCTGCTCTCTGGGTTAATTGAACAGCAATATGACAATTGTAGAAATTACTAACAGACATTGATTTTATTTTGCTTCTCAGTAAAAAACATTTCATCTTCTTTTCCTTCACATCTGGTGACGGTTATAAAATGTGTGGCACAGATTTTATTTACTCTGATATTAACGATATATATTTCTGCAAGTCCATGTCAAGTAATAATAGACTCTTGTGATTGACCATGATCCTCTCTTTCCCCGACTTCAATTCACTTCATGTGTGAAACATCTGAATATTTTGATTCCACAAACAGGTTCGTTTATTTAAAATATCCTGATTCGTCCTGGAAGCTTTGACTCAGCTTCAGAGTTCACAGTTTCTGAATCTTGAACCGAGTGGAGGACAAAGGCTGCGTGTGACTGTACTTTGTGTTGTTGAATATCAATAAAGAGTTTGTGAAACCGCGCTGAGACTCTTCTGTGGGTGAAGTGAATCCTCCCAACACCAGAGGGCCAACTACAACATTACATAACATTTTCAACATTTTGCTCATCATGGATGAAAAACTCTGAGTCCTGCAGAACCAATCAAACATCTACATCTAGTGAATGTTAATATAAAATATATAAATGTTTAAATCTGGTTTCTGTTGGCAGAGAAATACCAAGTGCAAATATAAACACACAGCAACTATAGAGCCCCCCCTCCCCCCATATATCGTATATACTGTATATATATATAAGTTAATGTGTTAATTGATGAACTTCAGTGAAATGTGTTGATGCACACATTTCACTTTAGTTCATCAGTTATGAATCTGTGTGTGTGTGTGTGTGTGTGTGTGTGTGTGTGTGTGTGGGGGGGGGGGTGCACACAAGGTGCTCCATTTAAAGTGAGGTATCATCTGTGCACACCAGGGGGCGCTCCCGGGCGGCAGAGGGCGCAGCCTGCCGGTTCTCCGTCAGTCTCTGTGGAGTCACCGAGCCGCTGCTTCCACCTGCGCGCTGTCCTCGATGGAGGCTCCGGAGCAGTTCCCGCTTTTCTTCGAGGTGTCCTCCGCCGTGGACGCGGAGCAGCGCCGCAGGATCCGAAACTACTTCCTCATCCGCCGCAGGTCCGGAGGAGGAGAGTGCGGCGCCGTCACGCACATACGCGACAAAGTTCACTGCGTGTTTTTCAGAGAGCGAGAAGGTGAGACACGACGGTTCGGACCGTCCGACGAGCTCTGGAGCGGGTCGGTGTTTGTTAAACCGTGTCCTCCGGTGAAAGTGAAAGTAAAGCTGCTCCGGAGACACTCGGTCCTCCAGTGATTCACTTCTCACTGAGCAACAAACTGATGTATTCCTCCGTCAGAACCACTGGACCGCAGCTCTGAATCTCTTCCCCTCTTTAGTTTCTTGTGCAGAACCTCTCAGATCGGACCTGGAAACGTTCTCCACACTTTCACTTTCACTTTGAGTCCGAGCTGCAGATTTAATGGTACAAGTTGGAGCTCTGACGTCACGTGGACGGGGTGTGGCTGTGGGACAAACAACAGCTCAACTTTCTGGTCATCATTTTACTCTTTGGTCAACTTGTACTTGTTTCACATTTGTTTTGCTTCCTCTCTGCTCTGTCGTTCTCTGGTGGTTTCACACGTCTCGCTCATTTGTCTCTCGTCCTTTCCTTCGGTGGTAGTTGAGCGTCTCGTGGTTATTTCAGTGGCTCGTTGTTGTTGTTCACGTCATTTTGCATTGAACTTTAATATGATTTATTATTCGGTTCAGTTTTAGTGACCAATCAACACGAGAGAGCCGTTTGAACAAGGCGGGACGTTTTGATGATAGATTTGAAAGCAGAAACTGTGCCCTCTAGTTTATTTGTTGCTGAACAACCGAACTAACTTAAAGGACGCTCAGAAGTATGTGGGCAGTGACTGAACACTTCTCTGCACAGATAGGCTTATCCACACTGCAGTACTGTAAATGGTTCTCCAGGGGGCCCCTGACCCCTTGAGTCTCTGTTTGTGTTGGTCCCATTCTTTCTTTCTTTTTTACCATGAAAATTTAATTTTAGCACAAAGTTATAGTGAAGTTTATTTATAAGGCACATGTAGAACAACCGAAGTGCAGTTCAGTAAATAAAAACAAAGAAAATACCAGAATAATCTGTTTAAGCTGAACTACATCTATGGAGGGGAAACGCATCAGCAACAGAAAACACATCACTCGTAAACCTCGACTAAGGGCGAGCCAGTTTATACTTGTTTGTACACAGAAATTGGATTTGACATTTACATGTATTTAAATATAATAAAAGTAAATAAGAACACAAAAGCTGAAAAGGATGAGAGGAAGATAAACTGTGCAGAGGGACCCTAATAAGTATTGTTGCCTTTTTGTGTCTCAGCTCAGCAAAGAGTCCTGCAGAGATGTGAGCATGTGTTGGAGTTTGCAGGTGGTTCTCTGGTGCTCACTGTCCGGGACAGCCCCGAACCGCAGGGCTCCTCCCCCATCGCTACCTCAGATCATGGCCAGACGTCACCGCAGGTTAGTGTGGAAAACTTTCTGAACACAAATTGATGTGTTCCTGTTTTTCAAACTCCCCTGACTTGAATGGGGTGAAAAAGCTTGTCAACGTAATTCAATTAAGAATAAACAGTATCATAATTGATTATTGCCGGAGTTTTGTTTTAGACTTTATTCGTTTTGGCTACATGTTCCTTAAAAACTGAAAACCCACTGTACTCTCTTTCCAAAAGCAGCAACAGTCTATTCCTGCCTCCACTCCGCCACCAGGTGGTGAAGAATGTGAACTACGACCTGATACCTACCTCCTTCAATATCTGAAGGAATGTCCAAAGGCAGGGGCAGAGCTGGAGGCGGAACTTGCCTCTATGGACTGCACTGCTCAGCTGTTCCCAGAAGAGGGCAGAGTTTTAGTGAGGAGATCAGCTCAACCTGCTGCTGGAGCAGAAAGTAGAAGTTTGAGAGCTGAGGTAGACAAACTCTTAGATGGCTACCACTGCCACTTTGAGTTTGAGCCTCTCAAAGTCAAAGCTTTGCTTCAGTCCTGCAGCTCTGGTCACACCACAGGTGATGTGAGGGTGTTCGGTGAAATCGGGATGGCTGTTGTGGTTGGTAAACGTTCACAGGTCAATTCCAGGTTGAAGGATGTAGAAGACTCTACTGTTAAATGTAGAAGGTCCCGATTGAGTGAGAAGCAAACCAGCACTCGTCGATTCAGTGAGGCCAAACTCCGCCTCCTCTGGAGAGAGATTGAGGACGGTTTGGGACGAAGTTTTCCAGGAGTTAAGGTCACACGGGGAGATGCAGGTCAGGTGGTTTTAGAAGGGTCTGTGGAGGATATTCTGGAGGCTGGAGATTGGATCTCTGATAAACAGAATCTGGTGTTAGAAAGGAGAGTTCCTAACATGAGCCCACGTCTCTTGGCCTTCGTGAGGAAGGCTTATGGAGGTCCAGGGGAGCTGCGGGACTTTCTAGGGGCTGGTGACGAGGTGGAAATAGAGTTACGAGACACAGAGCTTCGTTTCTTCTCCCTCTCTCCTGATAAACTGGACGACCCAGTAAATGAAATGCAAAAAAAGTTCAAGGAAATCGAGATTGACTTACCTATTAACGCTGCTGCTTCATCTGAGCTGTGGGAAAAGCTCAAGTCTAAGACAAATGAGATGAACCGAGGGCAGTGTAGGGTTCAGGCAGTGTGTTGCTCGGACAGCAGAGTGTGCTTACTGGGCCACACCCGAGAGTTTGAAGAGCTGAATGAAACTGTCAAAGAGTTTATTTTGGACCAGTCAAGCATAGAAAGCAAAGTCAATCTTCGTTTTCCAGAGTTAGTACAACTCTTACCAGAACTGCTACAGCTGCATGCATTTGACTATTCAGGGGTTATCCTCCATCCTTACACTTCTGCCACTGGGCCCATTGTGGCGCTTGAAGGTCCATCCGGCAAAGTGGATGAGGTAAGGAACAGGTTGGGTCTATTTGTAAACTCCCTTGTTCGGGAGAGAGTCGCCATCAACCTGCCCGGAGCTCTGAGGTATTTTGAAAGTCCCTCTGGAAGAGAGAACATTTCACGTGCTGCTCAGTCTCAGAAGTGTCTCATAAAGCTTCAAGTTCAACCTCACACGAGACTGAACTTGGAATCTGGTGCAAGATTGAGCGATGGAGTGACAATAGTTGCGATCCACAACGTGTGTGATGGACTGCAGGTTGTGGTGTGTCAGGGTGACATCACTAAAGTAGTTGCTGATGCCCTGGTTAACGCGGCCAATGCAGTTCTGGAGCACTCCGGAGGTGTTGCTGCTGCACTGAGTAAAGCAGGCGGACCTGAAGTACAGAGGGAGAGTAAGACTTTAGTAAAGCAGATTGGGAAAGTTCCTACAGGTGACGTGGTAGTGACCACAGGGGGGGACTTGCAGTGCAAGAAACTGCTGCATGCTGTTGGACCATTAGCTGGACAAGTTGGTGGCAGAGAAAGGTTGTTGCTGGAACAAACTGTCCAGTCTGCTCTGAATATGGCAGAGAGGATGGAGCTCAAGTCTATAGCCATGCCCTGTATCAGCTCGGGTATATTTGGTGTTCCAGTGGACTTGTGCGCTGACGCTATTGTGACGGCTGTCAAACGGTTTTGCGATCAGGGAGGACGAAGTCTGAGCACAATCATGCTGATCGATAACAGAGCAGAGGTGGTGAGGGCCATGCAGCAAGCATGCGACAGGCTCCTCCAAGGGATAAGCTCTGTAACTAGTCCACCTAGCGATTTGAGGTTCCAGATGGATGCTGCAGGAGGAGGCACAGCAAGAGGAGCCACTGCTGGAGCTCCTGGAGTTGCTGTAACTGTTGAGATTGTTCAGGGAACCATTGAGACCCAGCAGGTGAGTAACTTTGCTTCGATGCTGATGCGTTACATACTTCTCAGTTTGCTCACAGATTCGGACGATTGGGCTACGTATCATGGTTAAGATTATTGAGATCAGATGTGACGATGTTTCACAGGTGGATGGCTTGGTATCTCCTATGGCTGGCCATGATCCTTTCTCTACCCGCATTGGAAACACCCTGTTGAATGTGGTCGGACCTCAGCTGACTGCAAAGTTTTCTCAATGTGCAGGAGGAGTGACAACGAAACCTGGTGACATAGTCCTGGTGGAGGGCTTGTCTGCACCTGGGTCTAAGGCCCTGATCTTCCTTAACCTTCTCCCCTGGGATAATAACCAACATGGAAGTGCAGTCCAGGTCAATTTCTGTGGCCACATGCAAATGTTTTGAATCAGATTTTTCTTTAAGTTGTCTCTTTTAGTCCATTAATCTTGACAGTGCTTGAATCTTGCAGGTTCTGAGACAAGGCATTAGAAAAACTCTGGCTTCCTGTGAGGTTAGAGGATTTCACTCAGTGGCTCTCCCTGTCCTCGGGACCGGTGTTGTCCTGTGCTTTCCTCACTCCGTGGCTTCCAGGATTCTTCTGGAGGAGGTCCTTGTATTCGAACAGAGCCGAGCCAACAGATCGTCTTTCCTGGTCCGTATTGTCGTTCACCCCAGGGACAAAGAATCAAGCAAGGTAAAGAAAATTCACTGCATCCCATACAATCAATGTGTCCAGGTTCAAGGTCTTTGTGATCTGTGAGAAGATTGATGCTGTAATTTCACAGGGACATTTTTATTTATTTACTGTCTCTTCATACAAACTAAGATTCCAAGCACTTTGCTCCACAAAGAGATCACCAGCTTAAAAGTAAATCTCAAAAACAGTTTGAGAAAAGAATCAGGTTAAAAAACAATTTGAAAAGTTTGCAAACTTTTTTTACAACACGTTATAAACCGGAATCTAACCTTCACCTCATTTGTCTCTTCAGGCGATCCAATCGGCTCAGGAAACTTTGCATGTCAGAGGATTCAGAAATCATTCTAATCCAGATCACGGTTTGTGTGAACAGTTTCTTTTCAGTTTCAGGTTGAGTCAGTCTTTTGCTGACTCTTCCAGGCAGCTTTGATCACTCAAAGATCAGAACAGCATCAGCTAACAAATAGTTAACCAGTGTATTACCACTTTTTATGCCTCCGCACCAGCCAGTGTCTGCAGGCATCATGTATTCAGGTTGCACGTCCATCACTTTCTTGTGAACCCAGTATCTCAAGAACACCTTTCTTTACATTTGGTACAAATGTTGAGTTGGACTCAAGGATGAACTAAGTAAATTTTGGTCAGAGGTCAAGTTCCACAAAACAAAACCTCACAAAACCATTTCATGTTGTGAACACGACAACACATAGATATTCATATTATAACCTTCATCTAATCCAACTGTAATCCTCAAATATTTGCTGTTTTGGTGTGGTGCTGTAAAACAGGAAATCCCTAATGGTGAGTTTTTGTTTATTTGTTTGCGATGACTTTAGCTTCCTTTTACCGAAATGTCTCGGGGACTAACAATGAGGTCACAGCCATGCTGGGTGGAGTCAAACTTCAGATGGTCCTCGGCAACATTGTAACTGAGGGCACTGATGTCATCGTCAACACAACTGACTTCAAAAATCATTCAGGTACAATCCAAGTGATATGATATATATATATATACATACATATATATATATACATACATACACCTGTGTCATACCTGTGATTGATTGTAACTGTATTCACGCTCTCCACAGGTGTCTCCGGTGCTATTCTGTCTGCAGCAGGGCAACAGGTTCAAGCCCAGTTAGCACAAAGTAAGCTATTATTGTAAAATCATTTAAAACATGTAAGTATCTTTTCAGAGTACAAGCACGACAGGTACAAATCATGCAGATTTGAATCCCAGCCCCTTTATTATAAAAATAAATCGTTTACTTTAGGTAGAACTTTTCAGGCTTAAGCACAAAGTGCTTCCAAAGAAAAGAGAGTAGAAAGACAGATAATTTTTGGAATATGAGGAATTGATGTTCAAGTGTAGCGTTATGAATAAAATAAATGTAAACAAATATTTTAATTTATAAAAGACAATTAAAAAATACTTTCATATGTAGTGAAAATGTTCTGTACTTGTATTATATTACACATTTATGTGTATTTTCAGTTTGCACATTCAAATAAATGAATGAGAACAACCAAAAAGTTCAAATTTACATTTTACCCCCAAGCCTCTTGTAACCTGATGTTACTTTTGCTTTTTTTTCCCCAGTGGGCATTCCTGCAGACTTAATGTGCACCACAGGACCCGGGTTGCTTGGTTGCAGAGAAATCATCCATGCTAGTTTCCAGAAGGACCCTCAGTTGATTCGAAAGAACTGCAAGAAGATACTGAAGCAGTGTGAGAGCAAAGGCTACAACTCAGTGGCCTTCCCCATCAACACTGGTTAGTACCATATACATGTGGGTGTATGAGTGGTTGTGTGCACACGTTACATTTAATGAAAAACATTTTGTAAATAACAAATGTCATACCAGAATAGGGAAGTTAAAATATAATAAGTTCTCTTTGAATTGATTTTGGAGGTAAAAGGTCAAGGTAGCGATGACATCATGAACCCTTTTTGGCTCATGAACTGTTTTACATCAAGAATTCTTCAGAAGAATCCTTGACACAAATGTAAATTCAGCCTCACGGACGAACTGATTAAATTTCAGTGGTCAAGAGTCAAAAGCCTCGGTGACTTCATATGAGTCTGAAAGGAGGAGACATACGACTGCAGGGTTGTTATTCTAGTTTTTTTCCTGTAAATGTAAAATGATAAATAAGAAAGTAAACTGGTAAGAACTGTCAAATTAGAAACAATGGCCACTGAAGGTAGTCAATTTAACTAGATTACACAAATAAAGGACACAACCTGTGACTGCTGCAATGTAAAAGTCGTTGTGGTAATTTCCATGTGGACTAAACCGTCTTTATATCACGTCAGGCGAGGCCGGGATGGACTCTGTGACAGCTTCTAAAGCCATGCTGGACGGCATGGCGTCAGCTGTTCGGGACATGAAACCAAATTCACTCTCACTCATCCGCATCGTCATCCTGCAACAACCAGTGTTCCAGGTGTTCAGGTCGGAAATCAATCATCTCCGAACAGCAACAAGACTCCGAAGGGAAAGTTTGAGCCTGGATTGTAATATAGTCTTTTTGTTTTTGCAGATCAGAGCTGGAGAGTCGCTTTGGAAAATCAGCCCCTTCCAGCTTCAAACTTAGAGGTTTGTTTGCATTTAAACTACTTGATAATGAGGTCATCTGTTCTTTATCACAGGTTCTCAGGTTTGGTAAATAGGAACATTGCTAACATCAGCTTGCTAACATGCTCACAATGACCATTTCCTCACATGTGGATGTTTATCAGGTCTTAACCGGAAACACAAAGTAAAGCTGGGACTAGTAGTATTTGGTATTTGGTCATAAAGCAGATTATTCGGGAGAAAATGGAATTCAACAAGATTATGAGAATTCAAATCAATTCATTCAATCCAACCACTCTGAGGCAGAAATCTCAGCCTCATGGTGGCACGAGACCAAAAGTCAGGGGATCCACAAAGTTTTAATCACAAAGGTCCGCGCATGATATCAGGGGAACCCCTTCAACAGCTGAAGAGACATTTTTATGATTTCTATGATCTGGACCCTGTTCGACTGATTTTCTCTACATCTCATGGACGTCATGCAGTTTACCTTTGAGCCACAAGGTGATGTTGCAGCATCATCTCTGAGAGTCAGCCACAGAGAAACAGGATACTGGCCTTTAGAACATCCTCAACATGGAAACAGATCTTAAATTGGTTTGTGAATCATCATCAGATCCATTGGTTCTAGTTTCTAAATCCTCATACACAAACTATTTTAACATAAATGAAAATGTCAAGATTTGTAAATGAAAGAATTGATGCTATGGGTCAGAATATTCTCAGACAATAATTCCTGTGAAGTGAAACATCGATACTGTGGACATGTGACGAGTTTTCCTCTTTTCTGTTTATTTTGTTAAGAATTCGCTCAACAGACGCTCAAGAAGTGGCAAGAGAAACGTTCAAAAACGTCTAAATCTTCAGCACCACAAGGAAGAAGCTTCATCTCCTCACAGCCTCAGCCGGCCGTGCTCAGTGTGATTTGTTGCGGTCCAGACATCACTGGCACCATCAGGAGAGATCTGGAGGACACCCTGCAGAAGCAGCTGATAGAGAGAGCGGTCAGCATGCGCGACTTCTCCTCGCTGGATGACATGGAGCTGGAGGCGGTGCTAGCGAATGTCAGAGGCTTGGGAATAAGTCTGGAGCTCAAGAGTCCTCAGGATCCCAGGAGACATCAAAGTTCAGAGAGTGCGAGAGGACGGAGATCAGGAACGACTACGAGAGCTGAAGCCAGAGATCGGTCGGCTGCAGGAGAAGAGGTCTACGTGCTGCGAGGCCTGAAAGAGGACGTGTTGAGCATCACTGAACTTATAAACAGAGCAATACACGACGCACTTTCCGAAGAACTCCAGGACAAAAAAGAAGCAATGATGGCTCTCCATGTGCAGTGGTCGATTCAGGATGCTCAGGGGGTCTGGCAGGAGCTGAGCCTGCATGAAAACTTTGAGCTGGAAGACGCTCACATCAACAAGCAAGTGTCGGCAGAAGTGACGGCACAAGACGCAACAGTGCTCAAAGTAAACCTGAAGACACTGGAGGCCACAGACTGGCAAACAGGGAAAACGTTCAAAGTGAAAAGGAGCGAAACTCAAACAAGTGCGTCACATTTTTCAGATTTTACATTTGGTGACTTATGTTTTAAAAAAAAAAAAGAGATTATATGAATATAATAAGTGTGTAAATATACATGAATTCAACAATTAGAGACATAGAGAATAATACAATCGGTTTAGGTTAGGTTGAAGTGTAAAAGAGTCTGACAGCAGTGGGAATGAAGGTCCAGTATATTTTTCATCATAACGGTTTGATAACGAATTATTTGAAATCATTGACGATTTAATTTTTCATATCTACATCCGCTGATTTAGCAATATCGGATGTTTTCTATTCCCTGATGTCGGCGTTAGCCCCCAAAAATCGACAATCCACCCACAAACATTGATTTGTGTGATCTCTTCTTTAGCCTTGGAGCTGCCAACACAATGGGAACCGATGCACGAAGAAGTCTTTAAAAAGGTGGAGCTGCAACCTAACTCACAAGAGTATCAGGTCGTCGCGCAGGGTTTCCTCAAAACGGCTAAATACAACATTCAAAAGGTGAGTACGTTAACACAAGCGAATGATTCTCGTAGGTTTTGAGGTTTCAGAATAAATGATGTCTGTTTGTTTTCTGTTCCCAGATTGAGCGTGTGCAAAACCTCTACCTATGGCACGCCTTCTCTGTGTGTAGGCAGCGGATCTTTTTCAAGAACGGCAGAGGAGATGTTGGTGAGAAGTCGCTCTATCACGGCACCTCAGCGGAGTCGTGCAACTGCATAGAAAAGGACAAATTTGACAGGAGCTACGCAGGAACACACGGTAACAGGATGTGGCAACAAAATATTCTTCGGTTTTGATTATTACAGGTTCGACAGTAACATAGACTGAATAAAGATGGACGACATGACGTCTACAGTTGACATCCATCTTTTCTTATGTCCTTCTACCACAGCTGCCAGGTTGGGAAAAGGAGTTTACTTTGCTGTCAACGCAGGGTATTCAGCCAGTTCTTTCTCCCCACCGGACGCATCAGGCCTGAAGCGTCTGTACGTCGCTCGTGTCCTGACCGGCCAATACACTGTCGGCAGTCCCACCATGAAAGCCCCGCCTCCTCGTGGCGCAGACCGCCCGGACTGCTTCGACAGCGTGGTGGACAACCAGCAGAGCCCCACCATGTTTGTGGTCTTCCACGACGACCAGGCCTACCCAGAATACCTCATCACCTTCACCTGAGCAGTGACCGTGACAGCAGTTAATCTCGGTTAATGTTTTGCGTCAGGATTATTGTAGAAGCAGTGTAGTGGGGGTGTTTTAGCGTCAAAGCATAGAGTGGCTGATAAGTCTTGTTATGTTATGAAGCTTTGCGCAATAACTTTTACAATTATATAATGATAAGCTTTATAATTTAGTGACTGAGAGTCACAGGTAGCTCCAGACAGTTGAAGAGTGAAGCTGAACTGAGATCAGTTCAAAACACTGAGAAGTTCTTAACAACCAGAGTTTATCTCCGATGTTCAGCAGGAAACTTTACAACATGAAGAACTCTGATCTCAGTTCGGTGGATTATTTACAGCAGCAGCTCTTCTGGTGCAGGAAGCAGAGGATCATGGGTAATATCCAGTCAGTGGGACGACACAGTCAAGAGATTGATAAATCACTCAGCCCATCAGAATGAATCATGTGTGGCTGTAGAGGGCGCTGTTGCTCAGTAAAAGTTACATAGTGTTGCTTTAACATGTTTTCATGTGTTCGTAGGTTTGATGTCACGAAACAGATTCTAACGAATGGTTCTATTTTTATCACAACTCATCAATTAACAGGAAATGGTGAGGATATAATAGGTTATGTGTAAAGCTGAGTGTGTGGAGGGAAAACACTGATTCCATTACTGTCCAGGTTGAATAGTAACAAGGGTTGAAACCAGTGTGGTCATGGAAAAGGATTAAGAAAAGTGGTCACACTTGATTCTTATTCTTCACTTCATAATTAAATAAAACGATTAGAAAAGAGTAAAATAAATAAACTTGTAATGATGAAGATTTTGTGACAATGGAATCCAAGTAACTTCTGATATTATAAATGTAAATTGGAAGAGAAAACTGAATCAATACAATAAGTGTCTGTGCTTTTGGAGATTTATTGACATAAGATTTGCATTTGATGGGAGAAAAAGACCAAGATAATAAAACTAAAAGATTTGTAATTAAGATTCTATTTCTGTGGCACATTCTTGTGATTTTGGGGCATCATGGAATAAAATATGATGGAAAAAAAACCTGGCATACTTTGTGGGCTGATGTGAATATGTGCAATTTGCGGATCCAAATGAAAATCAGTTTATTTAAACATTGTCTCATTTGAGGACTGTTGCCATTCGTTGTGCATCATCCTGACAGTTATTTGTCATTTTAAGATCTGTTACCTAAGTTAGTTAAACCAGGTCTTTAGAGAGAAATGTTCTATTTGAATCTCTGTTTGTTTCTTTGATAAACAACTCCAGTTGAAACTGAATCTCCGTGACCCTGCAGCTATAAATAAATAACTGCCTGTTGATGCAGAGGGGAAAGTTGTGTCTGGGCGAGAGAAAAGAGTTGAGGCTGCATGAGAAAAAGATTTGGGAAAGTGTTGCTGGATGTCACCAGCTTTTTAAAAATACCACAGTGACTCCTAGTTCCTGAGATGGAGTTTACCAGACATCACCTGCCCATGGATTGGGAAGAGCGGTGGAGGAAAGAAAAGGAGAGGAGAAAAAGAGTGATTGAAGAGGGCGGAGAAGGGATAACGCAGGAGAACCGCGAGCTGAGGAGGATCGTGGCTTACAATGACTCCAAGATGGGTCTATCGACAGGGAGGGGTCAGACAGAAGGGTCAGAGGTCGAGGAGGCATTCAGGGATAAAGGTCGTGGTGATAACGTCCATATTTACCACAGTGAAACATCTTTTAAAGAGATGTTCAGGGCCCTGAAGGAACTGTGGGATTCATCTCTTCTCACAGACCTGACTCTAAACACTGAGAATGGGAGCTGCCTCCATGTGCACTCCACTATCCTGGCTGCTGTCAGCTCCGTCATCCTGCAGAGACTGAAGGAAACAAGTGGAGAACAGACAGATGAGGATGGAGGCTTCCATAGGTGGTCGCTGTCACTGGGTTCTGAGGTTGATCCAGTCGGGCTTCAGGCAGTTGTGGAGTTTGCCTACACTGGGGTCATTTCTCTTTTAAACAAAGACACCACGGCAAACATCAAGGCTGCAGCTCAAGCACTGGGGGTCGCTAGAGTGGTGGACCTCTGCAACGAAGAGGAGGGGATGAGGCGAGATGGAGGTATGGAGAAGGAAGAGCGAAAGATCTCTGCTCTGGATGAGATGAAGATCACTCTTGGTTCTGTTGAACACCTGTGGGCAGACAGAGTGGGGTGTGATGTGATTTTGGATGTGGACGGGACTTTGTTCCATGGTTGGTTGACATTATTTGATTAATCTCTGGTTATCTGGTTGATTATTTGATGTTTAAACTCTTCTTTTGTATGTCTCAAGTTCACAGAGTCATCCTTGCAGCAAGCAGTGACTACTTCCGTGGCATGTTCACCTGCGGAATGAGGGAATCCCATCAGACCTGTGTTGCCCTTCCCTTCCTGTTAGCATCTGAATTCAAGGCTCTTATTGGCTGCTGCTACAGTGGGACCCTTTCACTCAGTTGGGACTGTGTCTTCGAGATCACCTGCACAGCTCTGCAGCTGCAGTTCCAGCCCGCCCTGTCGCTTTGCCTTAACTTCATGTGGTGCGAAATGGAGGCAGAGTCATGTCTGGACATTGCGTCTTTTGCTGAAGCCTATGGGATGTCAGAGCTCCTTGAAGAAGCCAATGACTTTGTACTGAGGAACTTCTGGGAGGTGTCATTCACAGCAAAGTTTCAGGACCTACCGGCAGAGAAGCTTCTAGGTTACCTCGGCTGTGAGGGTCTGTGCGTGCCCTCGGAGCTGGTCGTCTTTCGAGCTGTAATCTCATGGATTGAGGCTGATCCTAAAGAGAGATTGGGCCAAGCTGCCCGAATGATGACCGCAGTCCGCTTTCCTCTTATGACGTTTCGAGAGTTCCGGGAGGTCAGGGCCATTAACCTGCGCATGGAGTGCTTTGGAAACAAAGAAGTTGAACTCTATGGTTCAGCTCTCAAGGAATTTGCTTTCAGCTCCCCACAACCCCAAGACCAGTGGCGGGTCAGGCGGCCCAAGGACGCTCTGGTTCTAGTTGGGGGAGACCAGCTGAACCCAGATATGGGTCCACGCGTACCAACCAGGGAGCTGTGGTTTGCAAACTCCTTACGCAGTGGCACAGGGTTGGTGAGGGAGATAGAATGGAAGAGGCTGGGTGAGATGCCAGACAACCCCAAGTTCAGGCATGGAGTAGCAGCAATGGACGGAAGGCTGTATGTGATTGGAGGGTGTTACTTCTATGCTAAGGATAATATCATGAAATCTGCCCATAGGTAAATGGAGATAATCATTGCACAAATATCCGGTTCTCAATCTCAGTAACAACTATGGTCTCACTTTTTCCGTCTTTACCTTTATCTTCATGGCATATATGCTAGTTATGATCCTGTGCAGAACAGCTGGAAGAGGTTGGCAGACATGCAGGAGTTCAGAAGTAACTTCTCAGTGGTGGCACTTGAGGGACGCCTTTACGCCGTAGGTGGAGACAAAGAGATCAACACCAACGTAGACAGTGTTGAGATGTACGACCCGCACACTGACACCTGGAGGTAAGACTTGTGATAGTTACCACAGACTATCTGACAGTATCGACCTTTCAGGGCAGAATCAGGGTTTGATGCAGGAAGGTCCAGCTTAAGTTTGCCCACAATCACATGTATGAAAAATATATCAAGGAGGAAAACACAGAATCAGTTCTGTTGTCATATTTTAAAATAACTTTGGTAAGTTTTAACATGTTCGACGCTCGTATACTGCAATCAACAGCACAAGATATCCGTTTGTGTTTAGGTTTCTGCTGTGTAAGTCAAATTTAAAAGTGGCCTGTTTTATCATGGAAGTGTTAATGTTTCCGTTTCACAAAACTCTGGAATCGACTCCAGATTCTGGGTTTACTGTCTTTCCCCGTCTGATGTCTTTTTCTTTCATGTTTCTCAGCTTTGTCCAGCCCCTGGACCGAACTCTGAGCGGCTCCGCTGTCACTGTCGTCGATGGGGGGATCTTCATTTCTGGAGGTTTCGACTGTAAATATGTGTGTCTGGTTTCCACGTTCCTGTATCACCCACAGAGAGGAAGCACCTACCTGGCAGACATGGCCCATGACCGGGCTCAGCACTGCATGGAGGCCCTGCGAGGCCGTCTCTACGTCAGCGGTGGAGTTTGTAACCTGAGGGCATTTTACACTGATCAACAAGCCTGTGAGGTGTTCGATCCCGTGAACGACTCTTGGACCGGTTTTGCATCCCTGCCTGTTCCCCATGTGGGTGCAGCTTCCGCCGTCCTGGAAGAGAAGATCTATATACTGGGTGGATACTGCCAGGACGACTACAGTGAGTCTGGACTGGTGCACCGGTTTGATCCCCGCACACAGCGATGGGAAAACATGGGAAAACTTCCCGGGGCTGTTACCGACATTCGGGCATGTCTTCTCCGACTGCCTCAGCACTTTAGACACTAGTTGTTGGGTATTTAATCAGCTTCTGGATGAAATAATCAATTAGAAAAATAGAGGAAAATATGTAAATAACAGAAACAATGCATCAGAATGTTGGGTTATTATGACAATGATATGTTAATAAAGGCGTTTAAATCATTTTACATCATTTACACATTGAGAAACTATGAATTTATTATTCATTCTTTTTATTGGTCTCATTTACTATTTTTATTTTACTGGAAAACGTGTTTGCACAATCCTACCAGGGCTTGTTGGGACACGAGTAGAACTTGGGTCCCTGAGGGGCCTGAACACTGCTTTTCAAGGTATATAAGCCACTGCAGAAAAAACTATACAGCACATCATACAACACAACTTTACAGGTGAGGAAATGGGCTCCTGGGCTTTGCTTGTGTTGACCCTCCTGGGGTTCTTGTGTGTGGAGCCTGCGTTTGGACAGAGAGGCGACATGGACGTGGGCGAGTGGATGAGAGCTCAAGAGAAGCTGATAAAGAATTTCCTTGAGAATCAGAGAAATGCAGAAACACAACAGAAGGATCTTGAAGCCCTGGAGGACAGGCTCAATGCGACTGTGGACGAGCTGACGAGACAGAAGGCCGACATGGACAAACTGAAGAAAGAGAACGAAGGTACGAGATGATGACGGAAACATTACCACATATATTCCCGGTGATGCAGTTTGGTTTTCTGTCAGTAATTATTTTTTTACTTTCAAAACTGGCACAGACCTGCAGACAAGACTGAATGCCTCAGAGATAGAGATTGATAAACTGAAACAGACTGATGGCAAAGGTAAGACAAACAAACTTTAAACATATTCAATATTCTACAACAGAAAAATGTGTGTGATCCTCCTGAAATACGCCTTCAAATCTCAAATAACACTGTAAATATTTCTTTAGATGAAATAATGACATAAAACTTTAACAAACTGGCCAACTGAACACTTCAACTTCCAAATCCAACAAGACTTAAGAATGTAAATATTAGCACAAAAATCTTATTAATTAAAATTAAACTTTGTTAAAATTGAGATAAAGTTGAAAACTACAATACCTAAAAGCTGTTATAAGACTCAAAGAACCGAAATAAATCTTTCAAAAGACATATTTCTCTGAAAACAGGAGGTTAAAGAAATATATTATTAGCTCAGTGGTGTTTGTCATCATTATTTCTCTTTAACGTGAACATTTCTCTTCTTGTTTTCCTGCAGCTGCTCCTCAGATCGCATTCTCTGTCTCTCTGTCAAACTCTGGGGAGATTTACCGTGGACCCTGCACAGACAAGTCCCTCATCTTTAAGAGAGTCTTCTCGAACTCTGGCGACGCCTACGATCAAAACACAGGTTGTTAACATTTTTGTCATTTCGTTTCAGAAACATCACAGAACTGGTCTGAAACAGATTTTTCTGAAGCACTAAATGTCCAGAGGCTCTAAAACTCAAACACTTGCTTCTGGTATTTGAAACAAGATCAAACAAGGTGAAAGAAGTCACTGACGTCACATGACTCAGGATACCTGCCGCTCATTGCAGGAATTAAAGCTGCACTAATCATTGTATTTATATATATGTTTTTATTTCCCATCAGATCCGTAAATTATGTTGAAGAAAAAACCTGGATCTGCCTTTTTGTCCAAATCTGTTTTGAGGAAATCCCTTCTGTAGTTTTTAAATAATCCTGCTGACGTAACTGAACTCAACCTTACTCGTAATGTCCGCGAGTCATGTAACGTCTTTTCTGTGTTGCAGGAATCTTCACGGCACCCGTCGATGGTTTCTACTTCTTCAGCTTCAGCACCTACGGCTACAACACCAACGTGATGGGGGCCATATTAATGAAGAATGGCATCCTTCAGATTTCCACCTACGAAAGTCCGACAGCAGACGGTTCGGACAGCAGCAGCAACGCTGTTGTTCTGCGACTGGCGGCTGGCGACAAGGTGCACATGGAGCTGTGGGATAACGGCAGAGTGTTCGATAACCTGAACGGACACACGACCTTCAGTGGGTTTCTCCTCTTCCCCGTGTAGATGATCACACACAATATATTTACGCTGCGGTTCTCTCCGCAAATTCTAATGATGAAAAAAACTGAATCCATGTTTTTATTATTCTGTCAATTTTATTGAAAATATGTGGCAACGTTCAGCGTAATTACTGCAAAACAAATAAACTCATTACATTGTCCATTTTCTTTTCTCTGCTGATTCTGCACTGATAACTGAACTATGATCACAAGTGGAACAACGCCCTTTTGTTTTTAATATTTTATACTTTTTGTCATGGAAATCATTTCTTATCTACCTCTGTCATCAACACATCTATTACTGCAACACCTTTTAAATTCACTGAATTTATCTCACCAGAAATAAATTTAGGAATATCCTACTTTTTACATGCTCAAAGATTGATCTCATTTACACTGTAAAATAAACTATTCTGGAAATACTCTTCCCTCATCGGCAGTGGAAGATTTGAAAACAGATGTTTCAAGTCTGATTCCTCAGGTAAACCATTCCAGAGGGTCGGGCCTCACTCTTGTTCTTTAGCCTTGACTGATTGATATCTAATAGGGCGAGCAGAAGAGCTCAAGCAACATGTGACACATTATATCTCACCATGTCTTACAAACGTAAATCTTGTGGCAAACACAGCAGAGACACTCCTACGTCATTGTTGGGCCCGGGCATCTTGCCCATGTTCTCCCATCTCTGCGTTGTGGGGTCATAACGATGGACTATATTTGTGTCGGTGTAATCCTCATGGCTGTATCCACCCAGCACGTAAAACTTTCCCTCCAAAACCGCACTTCCTGCTCCGACATGCGGCACCATCAGAGATGCGAACGCCGTCCAGGTGTCGGTCTGCAGATTGTACACTTCACAGGAGAGCATGTCGACAATGTTCACGGGTTCAGCCGAGGTGATTCCACCTGCGACATAGAGGTGGTCGCCCAGCGTCTCCATGCAGTGTTTAGCCCGAGGTTTAGTCATGTTTGCGAGATAGGTGCTTCCTGTCTCTGGGTTGTACCGAAACAGGGAGGAGAGACACCCGTAGTCGCTGTTAGACCCTCCAGAGACCAAGATCTGTCCTTGTAAAACCTTCGCCACATGACCGCTCAGAGGTAGATCCAAGGGCCTGGTGAAGCTGAAAGAGAAGAACCACAGTTTGTTGAATAATTGACCGTATATCAGGTTAAAGTGCTTCCTGTCATGATTTGCTCTGATAAGACACTAATGACTATTTTTCAGAAATATTTGTTTTGATGACATCTGGACAATAGGAAGTTTAGTTTGAACCCTTTATTGGCTTGAACATATTTCCTGTTTTACTTTGTAGTTCTTTCCCTATGTGTCTCCTGCTAGTTTTATTTCCTGTCTTTGTCCCGTTTCCTGCTTCTGTGATTGTCTGCCCCGCCCTGATGTGTTTCACCTGTGTGACACTGTCCCTGTAAGACACCTTTTTGTTATTGAAAGCTACTAAACCAGGTTTCATGAAATTCTGGAGGGGTGGGGCTTGCCTAAAGGCAGACTTCATTATATTTTGTTAAATATGTGGATAAAAGGGCAGATCCACAAGTTTTGTAGATGGCGAGATGGGACATTAGCCTGGGCAGTATTAGCCTCTGTGGTTGTAGCCTTGGCAGCAGAGTCCGAGCACCCCTCAATATTTGGTAAGTAGAAAATTATAATTTCTGGTCAAACTGCCATACGGATTTGGGACAAGCTAATGAGGTAGTAGATAGATACCTCCAAGAGTTTGCAGTGGGGCAGTATCGTTCCACACTTTCTATATATTCCACGTCACAGTGTCCACCGATGGAGTACAACTGTCCGTCCAGCTCAACCACAGAGAAGAGGCATCGCTTTTGCTGCATGTCAGCCAGGCTCTCCCAGCCGTTCTGATAGGGGTCATACCTACAGATGTGGAGACAAATAATATATGTACAGAAACAGATACTGGATGTGAAAAACTGTACATGAATGTTCCTGGAAGATTGAAGAGAGACCTCCCTCACCTGTAAACAGAATTCAGAGTGTCTCCGTTGCCGTAATACTTTTTGCCCCCAAACACGTACAGTTGTCCTTTAAGCACCGCCACCTCGTGACTAAACCTCGCTGGCTCTGGCATTTCTTCCAACCGTCTCCACTCCATGGCCTTTTTAATCCCTGTATGGTTCCTCAGGGAATTTCCAAACCAGAGTTCTCTGCTGATGCTGCGGGTGGTCAGGTCTTCAGAGATCTGTTCACCCCCAATCAAGACCAGACTCTCCTTTGGCAGATATATGCGGAACTGACTCAATGGCTCAGTCTCATTGGAGCAGAAATCCTCAAACACTGCTTCGTAGAGCTCAGCCAGGCTGTGATCCGACCAAATATTAAAAGACTGGACCTCTTTGAACTCTTTGAATGTCATCAGGGGAAAATGGATCGTTTTCATTAACACCTTAGCAAGTTTGAGTCTTTTCTTGGGCTTAGCTTGAATCCATGCTACAACTGCTTTGAATACAACAAGCTCAGATGGTACGCAGAGTGAGTGACTGTTCAAGTACTTGAGGAGTTGTTTGGCTGGGAGATCCTTGAACTTTAAGGTGCATGCTACCTTTTGGAATTGCCGCAGGACAAAGTCGTTCGCAGTCTCGAGTAGCTGCTCCATCTCGTATGCCTCAGCAAAAGACGCCACATCCAGGCAGGAGAGGGGATTGATTTCTGCTTGCAGGAAGTTGAGACTCAAGGAGAGGGCTGGCTGATATTGGAGCTGGAGGGCGGTGCTGGTAATCTCAAAGACACACCTCCAGCTGAGGGGCAGAGCGCCGCTGTAGGAGCAGCCGACCAGAAGCTTCAGCTCAGACGCCAACAGGAAGGGGAGAGTCACACTATGCTGATGGGACTCTCTCATCCCTGAGGTAAACATGCCACGGAAGTAATCACTTCCTGCAGCCAGGATGACTCTGTGGACTAAACAGAGGATGGCGTTAAGTAAAAAGATGCAGTTTAACTCTGAGTCCTCCAGACACGTCTCACTCTGCATGTTCCAGGAAAGATGATTAATGACATTGCTGCTTCTCACAGTTTGGGTCAAAATGTAAATTTCATCATGGTAATATCCAAACCTCAATCTTTTCAAGTCATTTTCCCACGGTCTAACGTCCTTCTATTTAGTCCGGCCCATACTGACGCACATGACATCAAGCTGCCCAGAATCTGCATAATGCAGTGCATACCGGCTAGTCTGACACGCCCCCTTACAAAGCCAGGTAATGTGACAGCGGAGATTTCCTTGTTGACCAATCACAACAGATTGGGTCAACTGGCCAATCAGAGGAGTCTGGGCTTTATCAGGAGGGGGGGGGTCTTAAAGAGACAGGAGCGAAAAATCAAGCTTTTGAGACTGAGGATGAAAAGAGGAGCTACAGTTTAGACAGTCTGAGGACAGGGATGTGTTTTCTGAACATTACAGCATGCAAACCTTTTTGAGTAAGAACACAAATTACAATGATCAACCTGGACATGAAGCAGAATATGCCTTTTTTAAACTTTTACATAAATGCACTCATTGGTGGTCTACTCACCCTGAAGCGATTCTCCAATACCTTCCAAAGTGACGTCACAGCCCACCCGGTCCACCCACAGCTGTTTGATGGACTGAAGACTGATCTTCCTTTCCTCCGCAGCGGAGATCTTTTCTTCTTTCTTACATCCTGCAGTCGTTGGTGACTCTTCCTTGTTGCAGAGATCCATCAGTCTTGGGACGCCGAGTGTTTGAGCTGCACCCTTTATCTGATCCACCGTGTCCAGACGGGATATAAATCCAGAGTAGGCAAACTCCACAACTGCCTCTAATCCAACAGCATCCACTTCTGGGCCCAGACACATTGACCACTTTTTATCATCTTCTATTTGATCGTTTACTGTATTTCTTTTGCTCAGGCTTTCTCGGACAAGGGAGCTGACAGCAGCCAGGACAGGGGAGTGTACCTGGAAACTCTTCCCAGCCTCTGTGCTCAGATTTAGGTCAGTGAGAAGAGAAGAGTCCCTGAACTCTGTCAAAGTGCAAAATAAATCTGTGGGATAATCGTCTTTGCAGTAAACCTTCCCCACATCTTCATCGTTACTTTCCATGTCTTTGTATGATATAAGTTCTGCTTCCTCCTCATCTGATGAGTCTTCTTCTTCCTCCAGAAGAAGCTTTTCTAGATCCTCCTGAAACTCTCCTCCGGATCCTGTGAATGAATCTTCCTCATTTGTCAGCTTCTCGCACTCATCCTCCTCTTCATTCCACACTCCAAGGATTCTATCTTCTGCTTCCTTTGGATCCGTGCATTGTTTCTCAACAGCTCTTTTTTCATTATTCAATCTTTCAGAATTATAACCTTCATCCTCCGATCCCATCCGCAGAGAATCTTCATCAGATTCAACTGAGTCTGAGAAGTTTTCTTCATTTTGTTTGGTTGCACATTCTTGATTTTGCTGAACACGCTCTTCCTCTGTTCTACTGTCGTAATCCTTCTCTTGTATCTGCTCTTCCTCCGTCTCTTCGCCATCTTCCTCCACCTCCTTCTTCACATCAGGCTCTATCGCTTCCTCCATTTCTCCCTCTTCCTCCAATCGCTCTGCTTCCATCAGCCCTCCTTCTCTCTCAACCATCTCCTCATCCTCCCTCCCATTCTCAATTCCAACCATTTCTGCTTGCGTCACCTCCTTTTTCTCCTCCTCTTTCTCCTCCTCTTTCACCTCCTTCTTTCCTTTATCCTCACTGTCGCCTTCATCATCTCTCACTTCCCCTATATTCTCCTGTTCCTCTGCTTTTGTCACCTCCCTCTCCTCCTTTACATCCACCTGCTTGTTCTCCTCAACATCCCTCTCTCCCTCATTTTCCTCCTCTTCCTCTTTGCCCAGCACATCATTCACCATCACCTTCTTCTCTCCTTCTCCCTCCTGCTCACTCCCTTCCTCTTCCTTCTCTGTCCCGCCTGCTTCATTTTCTTCCTTTTCCTCACTGTACTCCGTTTCCTCCCAATCCTCCTCCTCCTCATGCACCTCCAGCTTTACCCAACGACTCAGCCTCTCTCTCAGCGTCCTCCTCCTTTTCCCTCCATTAACATTCTTCCATTCATCCGACTCCTCCTCCAGGTGTGGATTGGCCTCTGCCATACTGTCTGTTATAACTTTAATCTGGGCTAATCCCTTGAAATCTCCCCTTTTCCTAAACACTCACCACGCTGACACCTCGTGAATGCTACAAGATTGCTGGACACTTAGTTTTTGCACAGTTTATCATCAAAAATGCACAGACAATAATCCTCCAGTGATAATCCAGAGGTTGGTTGTTGCTGGTTTTGATGCAGGCAGCTCGACCTCCGTCTGCAGACACCAGCCGGGTTGTCTGTTTGATGCTGTCGTGTCCGTCTCCTCCTCTCTCTCTCTCCTGTATGAGAATTTTCAAAAGTGATGCGAGTGCCCACGATATCTCATGTAACCACATATCGTGTTATAAACTTGCTAACTGAAATTCTAGACTGTTTTGGCGGGGTTCAGTTTTAATCCTAACAAAGATTTGTGAGGAGATGATGCAGCAAATAATAATAATAATAATAAGGTTTATTACTAGAGTTACAAAAGTGCATATAAAAGAAAAGTCAGTTCATATTAAACAAGGTAATGAACCAGAACAGATACAGAACAACGGTAACACAAGATCATTTTATTTTAAGACAATTTTTTATGTCTGTAAAGGTTTGACCTGCTTTTTAAACTGATTCTGCTGCTTTTTGTTTTTATTAACTCTTCATAATTTCACATGTAGATAATCGTGAAGGCCTTTATTCACAGTTTGTTCCTATGCATCTAAACCCACACACACTGATTTGGCTCAAGTTGTAAACAAGAAAATAATCTTGCCCCTTTGAGGCAGCAAATCTCTGCCAGTATGAGAAACATCTCAAAGGTGGGGGGGGACTTGGATCCTTGCTCGGGGCCATATGACTTGGGGATCAGTATTAAATGCCCAGAGGGTCAACGTTGGATCACCTTGCTCCTCCACGGCCAAACACAGTGGTATCTGGGTCAAGTGTTGGGAGGCAAGAGGGGGCAACAAAACAACACCATTTATATTTATTGGCATTTGTGCCAGCAGACAAAGCAAACAGCTGGGTCGCACTGTAACCTTGACTTAGCAAATAGCGTCACAGGTCTACAGCAGCTGACAGTGTACCCTCACAAATTACCACGCTGTCAGAAATAGCTGCTGGATTGCTTTGTTATTCATATACATCTCCAAGGTTTACATAAATCACTGCAGCATCTCCAACTGTCACACAACACAAGGGTCAAAGTTTTCTCTTTCTGTTGGACCAGCCGCCTCCTGGACTCTCAAAGGTTTAACTCAGCGAGACGAGGCCCAGTTCAAGATGCGATGAGACAGCAGCAGATGGTCACAGTGAGGTAGAGAATGATATTCACCTTTCACTGGAGAAATATTGTTTGTAGAGAAATGTACTTGAGGAAAGTACAGTGATACATGACGAGAATGTAAACTGTGCATCTGTATAAGGAGATATTGAAATGTATATCAAGATTATGTTCAGTTTTTCCAGTGGTTCTCATCCTGGTGACGGAAGCTGGGCCTCGTTCTTTTCCGTGCATTAAAGGAGACGAGTGGACGAAGGGGACGCTGGCTCCAGGACGCTGATGATGCACAGTAACCAGGCTGCGGGTGAAAAGAAGGAATACTTCTGACTCACAGGTAATGACCTTCAGGAGGAAAACACATAAACTATATTCTGCACATGAAATTCTCTGCACACTATCTTGGACAGCCTCAGTGCTCTGTACAGTCCAGCTTTTTAAATCTGGGCTGAAAGGCAGTCACAGAACATAGCAAAAAGAAATAGCAGACTCACATGTGATGTTAGCGTGATCCCTCATGCTGCATGCCTGCAAGGTCATGGTCAGGGTGAGGGAAGTGCATGTGTGGTGTCATGACCAAATTATTACCCAGTCTTTGGCTCTGTGTCCCGTGTGCTCGGCGCTGCCTCGAGCCAGGGATGACAGGGACACATTATTTTAATGTGTTCTCTCTTTTTGGTCTCAATCACTAACATGGAGAAGGTGGGTTTTAAGACCTTTACTGCAGTCAGCCACCAGGGGGTGATGCCACATTGAAATCAGTTTGAGGGAGCTGTCATGGCGTCCATCTTTATTTACAGTGATGCTCTGAATCTATCCAGTGAAATGTTTTGAAGGACAAAGTGTGAGTGGGTGAGCTGAGAATGAAAGTGGAGGACACAACAACTTTCAGCTACACACACACACACACTCACTCTACATGCACAGTGTGGTTTAAACAAACAGACACATGAGTAAAACATTTCCCTCAAAATCAAATGTGTGTGTCGTCCATCAGAAAACTGCTTCAACTCCTTTATCCAAAAAATGATGAACACATTCATGGATAGAATGAAAAAGACCCGTGGAAGCAGGAATGTCTCCCACACAGATCCACTGGATAATAAAAGAAAAGTGCAAATGCCACAATAGAAAATGTGTATTATATATATTAGCGTCATCATCACCTACAGTGAGTGGTTCTGCTCGGGGGGGTGGGGGGGAGCAGCAGCATCTTACAGTCTATGTACGAAACGTCAGTTCCCTCTGCAATCCGTTACCATGACAACGCACACACGCTAAGGGAGATGCTCGCTTCGTTACGGGACCCCCCCCCACCTCGGGCCCAAACACTGATGGGACATCGAGGGTTGAATTCCTCTATATGATGCAATAACAGGAAGCTGAGTGAACACGCACAGAACTGAAAGTAAGAAACATCACACACAGTTATCGCCTGATGCTTTTTCCTCTGAGGATCTATGGTACAGTGAAAAACACACAAGCTGTTAAAATACAATCTAGTTTTATTGAACTTCTATTGCCCCAATGAAACAGAGGTGAGGACACATTACAGACAAATCAAACTCCAGACGGGCTTCACAACCGACTGGAACCAAACAAGGTCTTGAACACGAATGAAATCAGCTCATTCAACCTGATGTTTTCAGAAACAGACACGTTTCACGTGGATGCGAGCAGCTTCAGTGTGGTGTGAGAATCCAAACACAAACAACTTGAGCTTTAATTTACATCACTGAGCAAAATGGCTCTTCACAGTAAGAAGCACGACTGATTGTCAAACTCACTTTCTCTCTTAAATAATCATTCATAAACATAAATACTGTTAAACACCAGAGTAATGTTTTGACTGTAAGACTGTGAAAAGAGTTTAAATGACTTTAACATAGTAAAGTTCCACTAAAGCTCGTTTTATTTTGAGGTCATTTTACTAAAATATACAAGTGCAGCCAGGGGGGGGGGGGGAGAAGAGGGATCCACCTCTTCACAAGTAAAATAACACATGTACATCCAGAGAGCACATGCACTGTAGATCACACATCATCAACTATTGCTTCTTAAATTAGGTCGTGCTCTTATTTTAGTCCCTGCATCGGTGAAAGGGTCGAGGACACAGGACACGTTTCACCGCAGGAGCAGAGGGTTTGCATAGTTTGGCAGCAGCGTCGTGTTTGACATGTTTTCCTATGGAGCATGCAATTTTGTCTTTGTGTTAAAGTATTTGCGGAGCCTTGAAACCTTAGCACCCCCCCCCCCCTTCTAAACAACACACCGCTCCTGTGGCAGCGTTGAGATGAGAGGTCTATTTTTACAAACGAGGGGGTGAGGGAGCGAGGTGAGATCTCACGAGGCAGAAAGCAAACGCTGAGTTCATGTTGTTTTCATTGTGAACACGTTCAGAAATAAAACACACATGTAATTATCTTGACATATTCAGCGTCTGTAAATGTTCCAGGGAGTCTGGACCGTGGTCCGAGCTTCATGCCTTTGATTCTTTTGATCCGGTTGCTTCTGGTTTCATGTTGTAACTCTGGACTGAAGGATTTTCGATGACCTGTACGACCTGTCGTCTTCATCTACCCTAAACTTGACGTCTGTGTGTTATCAGCTCGGAAGATTATCGTCTTTTTGTTTGAATGGAGAAAATGAATGAGGTGATTAATTGTGTTCATTTCATTGCAGCTGTAATATTATCATCTTAACCCGTCCTTGAACTACTCACAGATCTGTCCTCTCGACTGCAAACTCTGTTGTGTTCTTTTTAAACTGGGGATTAGAGAGAAACGGCATTTGAATCCCGTCTATGTCCTGAACGTGAGGCAGCTTCAGGTGCTCGTCGTTCAAACATTATAACGTTGGAGGTGAAGACAAGTGTCCCTGCAAACCTGGGCAACGTCCTGCTGTTGGTCCAAAGGTGCGTTGGTCCAGACCGTGGTCCGAGGAACGGTTCACACCTGTCACTTTGGTTTGGACTTAACTGAAAAGTCAGAAGGTCCGAACCAAACAGGAAGGTGTGAAATCGCCCACACTTGGTCTACTAACCTTTTCAAAATAAAGCACACCACCACATCAGTTGTGCTGTCTAGGACTTTTTCTAATTTTTGGAATGATGCAGCAGAGATGTCGGGGTCAAGCCCTCGCCCAGGGGAGGAGGAAGGAGACGATAACAATGACGAGGGAGAGGGAGAGGGGCAGAGAGAGGAGGAGGAGGAGAGGGAGAGAGAGGGATGACGGCCACAGTGACGTCAGTTTGGAGCCTCGGGGCAGATCCACCCGGCTCCGCTGCATCTCCACGTTTGGTCGGCAGATGATCAGCGGCCTCACCTGTGACACGCTCTCCTGAGAAAAGAGACCGGTGTGTGAACACAGCTGTTGTTTAAAGTCAAGATTAATAACAAGAGAAAGATTCTACACAAAAAACTATACACACACACAATTTTAAACTAAACCAATAATACTCAACCTCCCCCTGTAGTTAATTATGCCTTGAAACACTTAATTGTTGTGTTGATACATATTTTCACTTACAGCAGAACTTTAGTTCATCAAATAAGGAGTGTGAGTGGATTTCATCTTCTTATAAAAACCACGTGTTGTGATGAGAATTGAATTGACTGTGTGTTTCCTCTACCTCCAGTATGGTCCTGCTGCGGCCTCTGTCAGGACTGAGCCTGAGGTTCCAGCGATGGGATCTGTGACTCCTCCCACCATCGTCTTCGCTCTCCGTGGTGTCTTGCCGCGCGACCCGTGGACGCTTACGCCTCCGTGAGCTGATTCGCTGGAGGGAACCCGGCTCCTGAAGTCTGAGCCCGTCCAGTTAAAAGACACCAGGTTAGACGATTACACGGGAAGACGCACACGTGTGGGAATACACGCGTGTTAATAACCGTGTTGGTGTGCACATCACAAACCTGCAGTCTGTGTCCTCTATGTCAGCATCGGCATCACTCTCCCCCTGAGGGTCAGATAGCAAACACTCTTCCTGCGGAGGAATGAAACATACAGTACACATTATACATGGGGATTTTATTTTGAAGGTTTGGATGAAACAACGTGTAAACCAAAGGCAGCCCTTGATGATGCCGTCGGTCTGCGTGACTGATCTCCTGCGTCATTTTCTATTACCACCATTGTTGTGTTGCATGAGTCAGCTGACGCCTCCGCACATGAATAATGAGCTCAGGGAATCTGACACGAGCAGTTGTTTCTTTTCAAAGTGTTCGGATATTCAGACGGAAACTGCGATGGAGACGTGTGAACTCAGATCGTGGTAATAATAATAATAATAATATTAATAATAATATTAATAATTTGCTGCCATCACACATCACTCAATCATTACTTTAATTCTTTAGGGAAAGTGTTTCTCAAAGCTATTTCTGTTTTGGTTTGAATTTGTTATCTGATGCTATAAAAACGTGCTGGAGCATCATGAGTGACAGCTGACCCGCGGTCGCTCGAACACGTGAGTCAGCGGTACGGTGGGAACACGGCTGTGTGGTCGAGAACCTGGAACTAACCTGGAACTACCAAAATAAATGTTTAATGAGGTTTAATGAGGAGCTGTGAGTGCAGCAGGTGAGACCCTGAAGTCACAGAAGGAGGTGTACTGGATTCATCAATGGGCTTTTTGAGACACACACACACACGCACGCACGCACACACACACACACACACACACACACACACACACACACAGACACACACACACACACACACACACTTTACCTCTGTGCCGTATCCCTCGGAGTACCTGGTTACCGTTACCCTGTTTCTTCCACAGAGTTCACACAGCAGTGTGTCCTGAGCAGAGGAAGCAAGGGGGAGAATAAAATATGAGCCTTTGACCAGACGCTGGAGAATCCTTTAAAACATGAAGTGAATCAAAAGACACACCAACACCAACAGAGAGAGGCGGAGGAGGCGGAGGAGGCGGAGGAGGCGGAGGAGGTCGTGTATTTAAAGCACAGATACAGATGAAGAGACACTCGGTGATGTGAGCGGGCTGAGTGATGAGACACTTAAGTGGGAAGCCTGAGCACTCACCGGCGTGGGCGTGTGTGCTTCAGAGTACAGTGTACAGGGACCGGCCTCGCACAGACACACTGCATCTGCACAACTCGCCCCCATCTGAGACAAAGACAGAGCGTTAGACCACTGTGATCTGCGAGGGGACGCTCTGCGAGGGGACGCTCTGCGAGGGGACGCTCTGCAGGCGGAGCTTCTCGTCTCTTTTGTCGTGAGGAAGAAGGTTGAATTATCGGACACCAACGTGTATAATGTGCACGAGTGTCGTGTAGAATGATTTGAAGGTTATCGCTTGTTAAATATTGAAATCCTGTCAGATGAGACTTTTGAAAGGGGACATGAAAACGCTAGCATCGCACACGGAACGATTTCAGGTAAATAACGGGAATATGAAGATACTATTCTATCAGCAACTCGACACCGCGATAGAAACAATGTCTTATTCAGAATAACGTCAACAGCATAAAGAAAGTCTGCGTCAGTATCAAGGGGGGGGGGGGAGAGCCGAAATAAAGAAAACTCACCTCACAGTCATTGTCGAACGTCTCTCCGGAGGAAAAGAGGCCGTGGGAGTCTGACTCCCTCCGCAGCATGACCTCTGACCTGGCTCACACACTCACATACACCTGTGGACACACACACACACACACACACACACACACACACACACACACACACACACACACAGTGTTGAGTGGGGGGGGGGGGGGGGGGGGGGGGTACTGGAATAGCCGTTTGCTAACTTTGCATCACGTTGATTTGACGATAGATTTCAATATGAATATCCCTCAGACTTTACACACAGAAATAACTTAATGTACCTTTTATTATTCTGTGTGAAGTGAGGACGAGCTGTATATTTAGTACTTTAGTAAACTATAGTTTACTACTAAATACTATAGTTTACTACTAAATACTATAGTTTAGTGTTTAGTCGATGATGTGCTTGTTTCTATCCAGGTGAACTTTCCAGCTGTTTTAAATGATGCGTATTAACTCGACTAAGATGGAAAAGACCGACGAGCAGATATAATGACACCAGGGTCACATGTCATCATGTTGGATTGTTTCATGAAGAAAATATATAAAACTCCTGAATTTACAGAAGAGAACTCATTATATAAGGTTAGAATCAAGTATCTGTGGACACCTCCAGTAAGAGTACATGATAAACTACGATCACAGTATATATACACCGAGTATACGTTGTACTTCACACAGAATACTGGGATGTGTTCTGATCTGGGACCAGCTCGTGTTTTTCTCCTGAATCGTGCAGATGTTGGAACGTGACGCTGAACGGACGCGGGCGGAGCCTCGTCATCACTGCACCTCTGGAACATCTGTCCCGCTCACGTTGCGTAACAACGGTGCCCCGCAACTTTCCCCGCAAACACGCGGAGACGCGGTCAAACGTTACTGTGACGTCAGCTAACGTTACGAGATCGAGACACGTGAACGCGAAACGCGGTGAAGACGAGAGGATCTTACCTCACACACCGTCACCGTCCCGTGACGCCGAGCTGCGCCGTTAACGGAGACCGGAGACGAGCAGCGGCACGCGGCGGCGGCGGCGGGAGTCCGGGACACGGTGGCGCGTGGAGGCCATGAGCTCGCGCTGCTCGTGAGTGTTTGACATTGTGGCGGGTCCCCGGTGTGACGTCAGCACGAGGGATGAGTGACAGGAGGAGAGGGAGGCGCGTTCACGAGGGAGTGTTCCCAAAACAACACGGGAGCGCGGAAAGGGGGGGGGACGACGACTTCCGCTCAAGGCTTTCACGATACAGGACATTTATTTATATAATAAAATAATATCGTCTCTACAATTAATATTATATACAATTAATATTTATATAAATAACGTATAAATAAGAACATAGTCTCTAAATGTCTCTAAATATTTTATATGTATAAATATTTAAAATTAACAATTAAAATAATAATAATTTATTAAAATATCAAAAACATGAATACATAAAAAAGAAACTTAAAATAACCTATTAAACAATTCTTTAGATATGTAAAATATTTTTACATTATGTATATTATATGTATGAATATTTATTAAAGCCCATATAAAAATAAATATCACAGTATATCATGTATAGAAATATTTGTGTATCATATAAAACTATTCTTAAATAATTCTAAAATAATTATTTAATCGTATTTAAGTAAATTATATTTAAATTAAATAACATTTCTTAAAATGCACTTTCAAAATAAAAGCTATTTTGAAGCACATGCTCATAGACGAGTTGTGTTTTAAGTTATTCAGTCAACCTTCATACCAAACTGTTAGAAAACATTCTACTTGACTGAATCTGAATTCTTCCTCTCGTTCCACCTCTTCATGGATTCTATCTGGACAAGTGGTTTTGTGAACCCACCAATCATCAGGTCCAGAGGAGGCATCCTGCGTTCAGACGATCACACTCATGGCTGCCACGCCATTGTTGCAGTGACAGTGTGGAGCGCACGGGTGTGGTACACCGGTATGCAATTGTCTTTCAGGAAATGAGACGTTTAGTTGCCTGGAGAAAAATGAAGGTGTGAACGGAGTTGAATTTAATTTAATCTCTTTTTGACTCTCAGACACAAAAACGTCATTAAAATGTACAAGGACATCGTCTCAATCTCACAAAATACCTGAGGCCAGTGTGAATTTTAACCTTTTACTTAGTTTGTTTGTACGAGAGTCTTGGTTCAAAATGGCCGTTACATGACAAACTGTTTCTGAGCCAGACGACTTAAAACCCTGAACATTCTCAAAGTGGGAGCGATTACATGTAATGTTTTCCCTGATCTTTATCTCGTGCTGTCAACGCTCTGAGAGAGTTGAGATACTTTCAGTACAGACAGACAAACAGATGAACGGAGATAAATACACACACACACACAGAAAAACTTATGCTACGTGTATTTTGTTCAGAACGAGACGATGCACATTAATTAGCATGAGCTCTTGGGTCCAGCCGTGCCGGTCAATTATCATCTGCAGTTGCTGGTACAAACGAAGAAACCATTCAAACTTACAAAAGCACGTATAGCATCACATGACTCAACAAAACCAAACGTAGCAGGAACATTAAAACGTTTATGACCTGTACTGCAGCCAGCCCCCAGGGGGTGATAAACATGGTTTGGCTTCATCATTGAATCCATAATTTGAACATGCATTGATTTTAAAAACACTACACAGCACTTTATATGGCAGCTTGCAGTTTTTAGCAGTTGGTCAAAGAAATAGAAGTTTTGACAATTTACAGCAAAGCTGCGGGCTTGAAAACACTGTTGATAAATAAATGTCAGAAGAGTTTTCCAGATAGAGCTCACTTCGGCCTAAATGTCCCCTGAGCCACGCTGCCGTCATGAGCACTGAGGGAGATTAAGTTTAATTGGTGGGGGGGGGGGGTGCTAATGGCAGAGGGAGGGATCCTCATTATGGCTCCATGTGGACCATGCAAACGACTCCTGTGAACACAAAGTAAAGTAAGAGATTCTGTCCAAACCTTCGACCCTTCAGGATGAAATATCCTCCACGTTATGTTGCAGTGGTTTTGTTCTGCCTGCAGCTTCTTGTTCATCAAAGAATCTTTCTGTTCCCGTTTGAGATGCTGTTCTGCGCTGCTCTTCATGATGACATTTCACAACAACAGTCTATCCATATAAAACATGCTGTGATTAAATAGTCTATATAGATAACAGTCTATCCATATCACCAATGTAAAGGTAATAGTCTATGAATACTGTATAAAAAGTCACAGAAGGGGATGCAGGGCAGATTTTGGCCGTGCTCTTTATGTGCTCACAGGGGAGAAGCAGAGGCAGAAGAGGAGGGAGGTCTCAGATCACCAGAGGCCGATAGAGGTTTGTTTATACACATGAAGCACTACAGACAGGAGATGCAGCCCCGATAAGGAAATTAAGGGAAAGGGTGCAACTCAAATAAACCAAAACTGATGCACCAACGGACCAATGCACCTCTCGCCCTCTGTGCTTCTGAATCTCTCACTATCACTCAGAGCAAGACGGGGAACAAGCAACATTCTGGAAGCTCTACAGAAAAGCGTTCCTTGGATTTTTTTAATCCTCCATCAGAGTTGGATGCAAGACTAAACACAGCCCGTCATAACTCATGTGAAATGCTCGTCTCTGACTGAAGTCACGGGTCTCTGGCGTACGAGCAGGGCAACGGTCAACTCTTGGATCAAACAGAGCTCGTCGTCTCATGAGTTCAGGGACAAACTCTGCGTCTGAGGCAATTGCAGGTTACGGCGAAGTGAGAACACCCACCCAGAGGTGGTTCGAAGATTGCCATTTGGTCGTGTGAGTTATGTGCGTCTGTGGTTGCAGAGTGAGGCGGTGAGCATCCACAGACATTCAGAGGGAGACGCAGAGGGTGTGAGGCGGCTGCTCACAGCTCACACTTTGCTTTTGTGAGGCTGCATCCTTCATCTGCTCAGATCTGGACGTTCTCTTCAGCTCTTTAAAGAAACCATCACCTTCTTTGTCAAGTCAATGCTACTTCAACAATATTGCTCTTTGAGTCACAGACAACGCTGAGACCGATGAAGGAGGCAGACCAAACCAAGGAGAACCCCCTGACGTGGGATCTCGACCAGCCCTGGACTTCCATCCTCAAACCCGCTGCACGTCTTTGCCTCAACACCTTGGATTTCTCAGACCTCTGGGATGAGGAAGACAGCACAGAGGACGAGGGAACCAGTCCAACTAATGAACCATCAACGTGCCTCCAAGCCCCCCCGGCACCCCCTCCTCTTCCTCCTCCTCCTCCTCCTCTTGCCCCACCTTTGTCCTCAGCGTCCGTTAAAGGTTCGACTATCAAATCTTGCACCTTGAAGCTCCACTGGAGGGAAATGCAGACTTTGGCTCCCCTTCCAAGGATGACCCGCTTTGGGACTCAGACCATTTGGGCCGGCCTTGAACCAGTGGATCTGGATACAAACCGGCTGCAGTACCTGTTTGAGTCTAAGGGCAGTAGCACCCGCTTTAATGTGGCCTCTGCACGGCAGGTAACCAACATCAGTTTAGTCACATTTGACCAATGTTTCAGTTACCGTCAGGTTTTCATTAGTCAGTTAATAAAATGCTTGAAGATAAGTTTCACAGTCACTGACATTTTTCAAATGATCAGAAAAGATGCATCATCCTGCATGAAGTCGTGTTGAATTTACTAAGTTGACATTCTAAGACGAAGAGTCATCAGCAGCCCATGTTTTAAAATCTTATAGATGCTGGTAAATATTAAAGATATAATATGTAACAACTAACAGCAGTGCTAAAAAATGCTCTGTCTTTTCTATCCTGACGACCCTGTCTCGTATCTTTCACTGCGTCTCGACACAGAAGCAGCAGCCGTCAGTGTCGGTGTTGGGGATGAAGCGAAGTAACATCATTAACATTGCACTGAGCAGCCTCCCGCCCCCCCGCCTCCTCCCCCCTGCCATCTACAGCATGGACAGCAGCGTGCTGGACAGAGAGGACGTCCAGGTACAGTAGAGGTCGTGTCTCACAGCATTTGATGAACCGTTGAAGTTTACTTTTTTCCTGGATATGCAGGTGATTGATCTTAACATTTCCTTTGTCACACATCTGTATTCATCTCTTTTCTTTCTTAAACAGCGGCTTCAAGCGTTAATCCCAACGGAGGAGGAGCTTTCTCTGATCAAGGACGCCAAGAACCAGAACCCCCACTCTCCTCTGGCCGGGGCCGAGCTCTGCCTTCTCACTTTAGGGGAGATCTCTCACCTGAGCTCCAGGCTTCAGCTGTGGGCCTTCGCTCTGGACTACGACTCCTTGGAGAGAGTAAGGGACGAGGGAATGAACCTAAAGAAGTGAAAACAAATTCCTGGATATGGGTTCTTCCCAGACCCATATCACAAGTATTGGGAGCACTTCAATGACCTCCTATCACCTCATTATTCCTCCTCTTTGCAGGAAATTGCTGAGCCTCTCTTCCATCTGAAGCTGGCTATGGAGCAGCTAGCGGCCAGCCAGACCTTCAGGTGTATCCTGGCAACAGTGTTAGCAATCGGGAATTTTCTAAACGGATGTAAGGTGGGTGACCCGAGACTTTACATCCCGTCCTTGATGCAGTTCTCAGTGTCAGTGAGGTTTTTTCTTCTTCTCACACAAAGGCTCGTGGTTTTGAGCTGAGTTACTTGGGCAAGTTGTCCCAGGTGAGGGATACACACTCCCGCCAGCCCCTGCTGCACCATGTCTGTGTGCTGCTGCTGCAGCTCTACCCACAATCCTCTGATCTCTACTCCGACATCAGCGCTGTTACCAAAGCTGGAAAGGTGTGTATTTTCACCTGTGTGTGAGTGTGTGTGTGTGTGTGTGTGTGTGTGTATTTATGTTGTTCTTGCATTTGAATCTGCAGGATTATTTGAATATAACTGAAATGCACAAACTCCCCCTCGTTCTTCTCATCTTTACAGTGCGACTACTCTCTAGTCCAGTCCAACCTTTCTCAGCTGGAGGCCCTGTGCAAAGCATCATGGGAGCAGCTGAAGGTGATGGACAAGGCAGAGGAAAAGAGGAAAGGAGGAAAAGGGGAGAAGAGGAGAGCAGGAGGAGGAAGAGGAGGAGACGAGATCTCCGCTCAGGAAGGTTCACTCCGTCGCCAGCTGCCGAAGATTTTGAAAGAGTGCGAGGAGAAGCTGAAGGTCCTCAGAGCTGTGCACCGTCGAGTTATCAACAGGTTCTTTATCACAGATTCTTCCTCCTCAATGAGTCGACTTTACATTTCAACAATACATTTGTAAAACGTTCTGTTTCTCCAGGTTCCACTCTTTCCTCTTGTTCCTGGGCTACTCCCGAGCTATGGTGAGAGACACCAAAGCCGAGGACTTCTGTAAAACTATCAGTAACTTCTCCCTGGAGTACAGGTCCACACGGCAGGGCATCCTGCTGCAGAGAGAGCGGGAGCGACCGAGGAGCGGAGCTGAAAACCAAAGCCCCAGAACTCCTGTAGGCCGGAGTAGAGGTCAACAAACTCCCCCACAGGTTTTTCATTTAAACGATTTATATTAAGTATGAATCTACTCAAAATGAAGGAACAGTCACTCAGGCTACATCCATTCGAATATGTTTTCATTTCAAAACTAAAACGATCTCCATCCACACGTATCATGTGACCATTCACGTGCCTGCTGGTGTAAACAGGAAGCAGATGGTCTACTCTGCAGTTGGTTGCTTGGTTACATCAAATATACAAACAATGTACAGAAATGGTAAAAAGCGAAGGTCAGCAACATTTTGCTTTCACCGCTGGAAGTCGAGTCGTAACTGATTAGAACAATGTAGCCTCATATTCTAACTGAGGATCTGCTGACTCCCCAGGAGAGTGAGAAAGGTGAGGAGCAGTGTTTGCTGGAGGAGGTGCTGCGAACACCCGAGTCCACGTTGAGGCTGGACGCCACGCTGCCTCGACACCGCAGGAGGATGGCCGACATCCAAGGTGCTTCAATAAACACTGCTTCTCATGATCTATAGTTCTTTCTCTCATCATCTTCTGTCAAACGTGTCGTACTGAACCCATGTTATGCTTCTCGTCAGGTCCTTTCTCTCGGAAGTCGAAGTGGTGATCCTGCTGACGTCACTGAGTCACTGCTTTATGAGGATTTGAACATGTGCATAACGTGTCATGAGCCTGTGTCAGCTTCTGATTATGTTTTTATTTGAATTAAGACGCATTAAATGTCTGTTTTGATAGATTGTGTTTCTGTCTGTGTTTTAATAAAAGACAACAAATTGAAATGTATGAATATGTTCATTAGAATGGTGCAGAGGAGTTTAAATGACTATATATCTCATTACAATATACATTAGTATCTTTATTATTATTTTATTTTATACGTATTCATTCTTTTTTTAACCTTTTTTATGTTTTATTGCCTTTTGACAATGTATTAGTAGAATTATGACCTTTATTTATATTTATTTATTTATATATTCTCTTTTCATCGTAGATCAATAACAGATATTGATTAGAACAAATGAAAACATATATTTTTATTTGCAGTGCGTTGAGCTCTCTCAGCCACCGTAAAACTGGCAGGCGCATCCACCAATCAGCGAGCCGTATATCCGTACGGGGGGGGGGCGTGTTAAAAGTCCAATCAGAAGCTGGGACGCAGCAGTGGGCGGGACTGTTGTGATGCGTTCAGGGCCGACGCCATTTCGTGTTCGCTGGTTTCAAGGTGAAACACCGCGGAGCCTCGATCGGAGCCGTTTCAAGTAAAAACACCGTTTTACTCATTTTTAAAAATAAGCTCCTGGTGAGTATTTTGAACCGAGAGATTTGATTTTTCCCTCCTATTTTTCCCCTGACTTTCAAAGCGCCTGTGGGAGTTTTTTGCTTTTTGTTTTGGTGTATTTTTCCTGGCGGGTGTCCCTCGCGCTGTGTTCGCTGTAGTTCGGTCATTTTGTTGAGTTCTCAGTAGCTTTTGAGGATTTTTGCCTTTTATCTTTCGAATAAGACATTTAAAAACCGTCTCCCGGGGCTTTGATGTGTGGGAGCGGTCTGTTGGTCTGGGTGTTGTCGTGAGAGGAATCCTCCAGGCTTCTCTGGACAGTGTTTTTCTGGAGACGTGTTTTTTAAGGTTTTTTGTGTCTGTGACTCATGAGACATGTTTTTTCTATCAGATGTATTTTCCGCAGCAGATCTCTGAGGAGTGACGTAATCCTTCGGGAAATATGTTTTCCTCCACCCTGAAGGAGAAGTGGGGGCTTTTTTGTGATGAGGAACATTAACCGTGTTTTTCATGGTATTATCTTTGTGTAGCGTTGGTGCATTTTGGTTTTCTCGTGTAAATCATTAAAGTTTATTGTCTTGGGAAACCCATTCATTCATTCGGAACCAGTTTGTGAAGCAGCTTAGCCCCAGGAGCAGGGCCCGTGGAGGGGCCTGCTGTTAGTGAGCTGCACCCAGGCCTCCACACGGCTCCTTTCAGTAATCTCGTAGCTTTATGGCTGATTAGCTGTATACGTGTCCTGATTTAATCTGCATCTGTGCTGCAGTTTGTATCAAAGTATGAATTCCCCTGTTTCACCTCCCTGACTGTACCACACCGTCCTCTGCCAGTGTCCTTGAGCAGGAGTCCCTCCAGGCTACAGGGGGCGCTGTTCTGCTGGGCACCCCTTCACTCTGGCCCCCAAGAGGGCGAGAGGACATAGAGGGGGGGGCAGCCACCAGCCCCCCCAGGCTGGTGATGCTCTGGAGTCTGATCTTATATCGATATATATTTACTGTTAATTGCTTTATTTATGTCAAATCAGTTAAACTGTTGAAAATATCAAATTTGGGCCAAATGCAAATCAATTAAATTTTAGGTCATCGGTTTGTAAAGTCAATTTTAAAATCTTTTCTGTTTGAGAGGAATAAAATTCCAACAGTTCTCATTCATTCAGAACATCTCACCTGAGAGAATCTTTGGGTTTTTCTAGTGTTTACTTTTCATAAGCCGACAGTAACTCCAGGAAATGTCCAGGAAATGATGTCTGGACGTTTCCTGAAGTTTATCTTTCACACGTGAAGAAGCAGCAGGAGATCGAGTCCGACACGTTCAGAACACCAGGAAAATGTCCGGAACATTTAGGGGATGGGAGGAGCCTGGGAAAAGCAGGAGGCGGGACATGAAGCATTAATTCTGCTTCAGAATGACCAGCGTCGGTTTTTATCAAAACAAAAAAAACCTCCTCCGTTGTGTTTTATTCGTTTTTTCCCAGTTTCCTGTCCGTCACGTGCTACAAACATCTTGACACGTCCACTCACTCACTGAGCTTTCTGGACATTTTCCTGCTGTCTTCTCTCTTGGACATTTCAGGACATTTGACCAGTGGACCGGGCAGGAAAAGTTCTAGAAAATGTCCAGAGCAACTGGACAAATTGGATATTTTGCGTCCTCACTTGAAAATTTCATGGAAATCTCCAGACGTCAGTGCATGTCTGAAACATAACTGTTAATAATCTTTTTACTTTCTTCATTGTACTTTTCATGATTGCCCCCCCCCCCTGCGTGTTTGTGTAACAGGTCTGGTTCATTTCCAAAGAGTTTCCTTTCTAATTTTACCATTTTGTTTCCCCCTGTTTAGTTTTTGAAGCCACTTTTTTGAACAGCGGCAAATCGTAAGTTGGTCTCAACCTCTTTTTTTTTTTTTTTTTTCACCTCAACTTTTGCATCATTTTTTTTTCTATATTCCACTTTTGTTCTCACCCCTTTGTGATTTAGCCCATTTCTCCCCTTTTGGAGTTCCTAGAGCAAGTAGCATGTAGTGTTTGAGTTGAAATGATTTGTTCATTTATTTTGTGCTGTTTGGGACTAGTGGCCTTTTACATGAGCTTCCAGACATTTCCTTAGTGTATGATTATAAATAATATCTGAATAAGACTTTATTTCATCAATATCGATACTGACGCAGGCCAAAGTGATCCAGATTGTTTTTCCTGCCTTTCTTTTTAACATGATTTATTTTGAGTGCATGTGATTTTATGGAGTCAAATTTAGTTTTCACTCACATGAAAACCTTTTGTTTAAGGTTGTAACAGTCCTTAAAGCTGTTTTCAGACACACGCAGAGTTTGAGTTTCACTTATGAAGCAGCAGCAGCAGATCGTCCGACTCGTTCACAACAACAGGAACATGTGGGGACATTCAGGCGAGGGGTGGAGCCTGTAGAGCAGCAGGAGGCGGGGCATGACGTCTAAACTCTGCTGTGTAAAGATCAGTGTTGTTGTTTACAGCTCGTCCACACCGGCGTCGGCCCTCATCACCAAAACATCTGGAACCTCCTCGTCTTTCCAAGTCGACGTCTTAGTCGGCGTCTTCTTCATCCTGCGATATTTGTGTCCTTCCAGTTTCTCGTCCGTCTCGTGTTAGAAACGTCATCATCTCGCCCTCTTGCTCGTGAAGTTTCCAGACATTGTCCTGCTCGGAGGGCCTCCAACTAAAGTTCTGACTCGGACATTTGCCTGCTCACATGAACCTGCTTCACAAAACTTAAGGTCTGAAAGCAGCTTAATGTTCCCCTTAATTAGCATGGCAGCTGAAAACCACCAGTTACTAACTTACTCACGATTTTAGAATATTTTAGAATATTTTAGTTTGGAAAAGACACTCTTGTAGAATTTTTTATCAAAATCATCAAATCTTTTTTCCCGATTGCTTTTTCTTATCCATTCTCAGCTCAGTGGAGCCTCTATTTTTATTTTAAATAGAAGTAGTGGATGTACACACAGCTGCTCACATGTGGGACACCGTCCCACTGCAAAGCTGCTCAATCAGTCCTCGTCCATAGAGCGGCAGCTGCAGCGTCTTTCACAGTTCAAGCACAAACATTCACTCACATCACTGATCTGCTGTAAAATAAAAAACTATGTTACCTGTGAACATCTTTATATCTGTCACTACACGGCCCAGATGAGGCACAGGACAGGAGAAGGTGCTTCTCTTATACATGTAAACATTTATTATTTTAAAATAATGTAAATAACCTGTCGTTGGATTCCACACTGCAATGAAAACCTTCTTTTAATATGAGTCCCGAGCAGATTTAACATTATAATACGACCCACTATAACAGAAGTCCTGCAGGAGACACCACCTGTGTGAAGCTTATATTGTCTGTCCATCGTTTTACTTCCAGGAAGTTGCCAAAATATAACAGACTCCATAAAAAGCAATGCTAATGACAAAAGCTTATTCATGATGTCACAAAGCTCTTAAATGAAAAGTGGAGTCAGAGTTTTCTCATCATCCATTTGGCAGATTTTTTTCAGTGGACTTAAATTCAGAGGACGTCATGAAAGTCATGGTTTTGTTGAAAGTAAAACTAAATTTAAAAAATCATCATTAAGCGAAGTCCCAGTATGTTTACTTCCTTTATAAAACAAAGTCCTAAAGTAAATACATATTCTCAATTGGTGCTCTCACTCCGTTATGTTGCTTTAATCGCAGAGACACAGAAAATATATATTTATATAAACAGCTTTGGAAACATTTCAGGAACCACTCCAGATATTGCATCTCTCCATGTATCTTGTGCCAAGTAAAGAAAAAGGACATTTACATGTTTGAAATCAGCAGCAGCTCCAAGTAAACCAGGTGTTAACTGAACAACACAACAAATTAGATCCTAAAACTGACGAATAAACCGAAACAACACCTCCACATATTCTGATCTTGAACATTTTGTATCTTCAAACTTCTTATATGTCGCACGTTACTCTTATTTCATACCAACTGAGTAGTTTTAGACTCTAAAATAAAAAACACAGTTTCAACACAGCCGGTGTTGTCGACACGCTGTCGACTTGCCAAGCAATAGGAAACATCCCGGCCAAGTCATGTAGAGCAGGGTATTAAGCTTCGGCCAGAAATCCTGCTGCAAACCGTGTAATCCCCTGTGAGCAGCAGCAGGCCGCAGAGAGGAGCTGCAGCTCGGTCACTGTTGAGCAGCAGCTGGCAGCGGCAGGGTTTTGGCGAGAGGTGAGATGTGGCTTCTAGACGGCTGAAGTGGTTCGTATGCAGACGCAGGGCTCTCATGATTCAGAGGGAATTTTACAAAAAAAGATGGTGACAGAATGTCAATGAGGAAAGCCAGTGTGTAATCACGGTGGGGATAATGTGTCCTCATCATCGAATGTGTGGGAATGTGAGTCTCTAGTTTCAAGGCTTCTTCAAACAGCTGATGTCCATTTAGTCAACTATGATCATTTAGAGTCAAACGGACCAGAGAGCAGCGGGTGGATTGATGACAATGACAAACTGGAGGCTTCAAAACAGCAGCTCACAAACCTAAAGCACATCATGACCTCCCAGAGAAGGTTTTAGTTTGAAGTTTCTGCTAATTTTCATAATCCAACAAACGTGGAGGAAGTGGACTGTGGAGACAGAGCGTCCCTGTGTTCGGCGCATGCTGTGATAATCTTGTGAGACCGCAGCGTTACGTAACTTTGCAGCGTCGAGGCGAGTCTGGCATCTGTGCTCGTGTTAAAGCTGACGCACTTAAAGCTCATCGCTCGCCGCGCTTATCTGCGGCTGCGTTTTGCATCATTTGCATCAATCGCTGCCTGATTTGCTGCAACAAAGCAAAACCTCTATTATGTTCAACTTGATTTTCTTTCTACCAAATAAACTAAACGAAAGGGGATCGTCGTGAAAAAAGTGCTTTAGACTTTTGAAGAATATTTACAGTGATGTTGTCGTCGTCTTCTAAATTCACACAGGAAATACTTTGACTTATTATTTATCTCAAAAACGACTAACGAGAACTTTGAAATGTCAAGTAAAGTCAAGTTTATTTAAATAGCACATTTCAAAACAACCACAGTGCCAAAGTAACAAAGTACGACACTATATGTGAAATACAAGAATAAATAGAATACAAATACTCTGATGTGGATGAAAACGTAGAGTCGTCAGTCTGGTCCTGAATATCTCCACAGTTCCTGTAAATTCATTTGATGTAAATATGATTTTAACATCAGCCCTAAAAATATCTTTCATCTGAACCTGAACTTTATAATCTTCATCCTGGTGGTGCTTCTGTCTTCTCCTCACTATCTTCACCCTACGTAGAGAACTTTGAAGTTACTGAATCTATGAGTGAATCATCTGTAAATTCTATAAATCTAAATGCATCTGGTTTGATTTTTCACCGTTTATCCCACAGGTTTTTATTTTATTATTTTCTTTTATGGGCCACTCAGTTTGTTTTTATGAACCTTGTGAATCACGTCTTGGGTTCCCCAGAAATCCAAGAACTCCCTCCCTCCCCCCCCACCCTCACCCCCACCCCCCCACAGTCACTGACTCTGTCTCATAGCCCTCGACGACCTTCTTCTCTCCAACAGAGTCAGACAGGCAGGCAGACCTCCTCCGACCCCAGACGATGGAGTGAGTGCTGGCAGCTTCATGACCTGATCACACTGTCCTGCTGTCTCATGTCTGACTGTAGACGCTCCTTCCTCCCTGCAGGAAGTCCACACACACAGTTTGTGTTAGGAAAATGTACTTCAGTGAATACAGTAGTATTTCGTTAATGGAAGGATGAGTACTCGGGGCTGAAGAACAGTGCCCCCCAGGGGTCAAGGCGAGAATCATTTTTTAGTAGAACACTTTGCAATATTTCTGCATCACCTCACAATACGTTTGCGTCTCCTCACAATACTTTTCTCCTCCTTTTCCCCCGTCGCCCATGTCTGCTCCTCTTCTCCCTGTGTACTCCCACAGTATGCATCAGTATTTCACTTTGTACTACACGTGAAGTACACTGGTATGGTACTACTGCTCAATAGGCGTGGTAATATCAGTAGTGAAAGTAGAGTTAGGATGAATTCTTAGGTCAAACAGTCGCTCCAGAATATCGCAATACGTTGATCTATAATGAAAGGACAGTGTTGCATCATGGGAACGGGAAACTATTGCCAGACAATGCTAAAGTATAGTGAGGTAACGCAAAACATATTGTGAGGTAACCCTTCTCGCTGTGACCCTTTGGAGGCTCGTTAGCAAACAGTTGATTCATTGATAAATTATATCAACACACATATCGATTAATCGTTTAATTCAAAAACACAGAACGTGAAATTTAAACACTTGAATTCATTAGATGTGAGGATTTCCTGCTTTTCTTTGCCTTTTATCATTTTAATTGAATATGAGGAACATTTAGAAGACGTCACCTCGCTGTAGACCCTCCTCCTCTCTGGGGAACATGTTCAGTTTATATTTTATAGTAACGGTTAAAGGGTTATTACACCTTGTGAACACACAGGTTGATGTTGGTGCAGAGATAAAAGACAAATTAGTGTCAAAGCCCAACAGAAGCTCTTACACACAGAACAAGACACAATAGATATCTCTACATCAGTTCTGTTTCATCCACCTCTTCTTGTCTCCCTCCATAAAAATCTCCACCTGACCTCCCCTTTCTTCCCTCCCCTTCTCTCTCTCTCTCTCTGTCCAGTTGCTCGTCGTCCTCCACCTCCAGCTCGATGGCCAGCAGCAACGTGACCAACAAGACCGACCCCCGCTCCCTCAACTCCCGCGTCTTCATCGGCAACCTCAACACCCTGCTGGTCACCAAGGAAGATGTGGAGGCCATCTTCTCCAAGTACGGCAAGATCGTCGGCTGCTCCGTGCACAAGGGCTACGCCTTCGTCCAGTACTCCAACGAGAGGAACGCCCGCACCGCCGTGGTCAGCGAGGACGGCCGCATGATTGTGGGACAGGTCCTGGGTGAGGAGGGACGGGGTTTGTTAAAACTGGGGATGTGCAGGATTTATTAGAGAATTTATTTTCGGGCTGTTTCCCTGAAAGAACTAGTTTGAACTTTCTTGGCCACATTTTAAGAAAACAATATATCAAGTGGAAACAGATTTGCTCGTTTTACCGGAGTGAATCTGTCGTTCAGTCTCACAATCTGGTTCCTGATGTTCTCACAGTTTCCAGTCTTCACTTCACCTTCATGTCAGCATTTTTCCTGCAGCGACAGAACGTGTGAATTCAAATGAACATGTCTCTCTCGCTCCTCACAGCTCCAACTCTTGCTTTGACTCATTCCTCCGTTTCCTCCCGCAGACATTAACCTGGCCGGCGAGCCGAAGCCGCACAGATCGAAGACGCTGAAGCGTTCCGCAGGAGACATGTACAGGTGTGAACACACGCGTCAGACATGTGCGACGTCATTTCAAGGTTTAGTGCATTTTCCTGTAGTGAAGGTTTCTCCTCCTCTTCTTTCTCTACAGCTCATCTTTTGATCTGGACTACGACTTTCAGAGAGATTACTATGACCGGTGAGGTTTTCACATTTTAATGTTTTTACCACGTATGAGCTCGTTGTTATGAGTTTCTCATAATTAGTAAGACGTCGTTTAGACACGTAAAAGTAAACGGTTCAACTTGTCGTCCGACCTCAGGATGTACTCCTACCAGTCCCGGGTGCCTCCTCCCCCACCGCCCCTGTCCCGCGCCATCATCCCCTCAAAGCGTCCCAGGGTCAGTCTGAGCGGAGGAGGAAGCCGACGAACCAAAACCAGCTTCTCGTCCTCGTCCAAAAGCAGCCAGAGGACGTCACGTACAAGTCAGTCCGACACTGTGACGTACAAATGCCCTGAGTCCCGATCACCCATGATTCTCGTGACTTTTCTTCTATTGCTGTTTCCGCAGTGAGGGCAGATGATCTGCAGACGATCAAGAGGGAGCTGACACAGATCAAACTCAAGGTGGACTACCTGCTGGAGAGCTTAGAGCACATGGAGAAGGACCACAGCAAGAAGTCTGGTGCGTCTTCACGAAGTGTCAAAACAAGGATTCTAGATTTTTCTCCTGGGCAGAGAAAAGTTGAATCAGGAACATTTTGTTCGAATGCAACTTTTACTGAGCAGCTTTAATATTTCACATCATTCTGTTTAAAGTTAGAACACGCTGTATATTTCACAATTTCATATTATACAATATGTTTTGGTCCATTTAAACTCGAGCGATCCAGCTTGAGGTTAAAACTAGTTTGATCGGCAGGGACATTGATCCTCTGTCCCTCTGTCCATCCAGAGATGAAGAGCTGCAAACCAGAGCCGGGCGAACTGTCCCCGCTCCACTCGTCCACCTCCAGCAAGAAGGACGACAGGATGAAACGGGACAGAGAGCTGAACGACTCCGAGGACGAGGGAGACCTGCTGGAGGACGAAGATGAGGTGAGGATGAAGCAGATGTTTTGGTTTTCACTTTACTCGTAGTGTTTTGATATAGTTTTAGTCTTTTCTGTCAAACGTTCGTAACTTAATCCTTTTTATTTTCAGTGTATATATATATAATATAATATATAATATATATATAAAAAAGAAATTTCAGTCTCACTCATTTTATATCATCAAATAACGCATTAAAACCAAACTTATCAGAAAACACACATCAGTGTGATGAGAGCTTCCTGAAGTAACAGAAACCTTCTTTGAGAAACATTTATTTAAAGCGTATTTTATGTATGTCCCATCCAGTAACGTGGAGGAAGTGAGCTTTATGACCTAGACTGCAGCCAGCCACCAGGGGGCTGTCACGTAAACAGTCTATGATTAAAACATGTCCATTCGTTTTATTCTAATACCTCGTGTTTGTTTTCTTCAGGTTTTACTCTTCGTCAACAACAGAAATCTTTTCGTGTGACGTCCATTTTTACTTTCTCTGCAGATGAAAAGCAGAGGAAGGGACGAGGATGAGGACGAGGAGGAGGAGGGCGAGCAGGAGGAAGGAGAGGACGATGGCGACAGCGCCAACGGAGACGAGCCCTAAACTCGACAGACACACATGCGCAGAACCGACGTGATTGTGTTTCCACACCAGACGCGGTGTCATGTGCTCATATCTGCTGAACTGACTTGACATTAGTACATTTGTATTCGCTCTGTCACACAGATACACAAACTCATTCACACTGTGTGTCCATTGCTTCTTTCTGGATTTCTTCCTTTTTATTTTGGATGTTTCTTTGAATTTTATAGACTTTTCTGACACTGGATAAAAACATCACACTAAGAATGATGAGGATTCATGTAATGTATCGTACGTTTGAACTCGGGGCTTTGAGCCGCTTCACTACATAAACAACAGAGAGAAAAAACGTTGTTATTCATTTTTTGATTCACGTGTTGAGTCGTTGCCGAATGTGATCAAACTACCACTCAGCTGTGGCTGGAGTTTTAAAAGAATCTGTAAGAAATATCCTGAATTTAAGTCGAATAGCGAGACGTGGTAGAAAAGCCCAGGCTTCACTTTTATTTTGTATCATCCCTGATCCAACTGCTGCACAGCTGCTTCCTCACCAGCAGGTGGCAGTGTGTCACAACAACTGGAGACAAACGACCATAAGGACGAAACATGTTGTGTCTGATCTTCACCTTCTGCTCGTCAGAAAACATGAGCCAGTGAAAAAAAGACATTCTAACATGGGACTGTGCAATCGCTCTGCCTCAAACCTCAGCTCAGAAAGTATCTGTGTCGTCGAGGTGCTGCGACCTCGGTCGACCTTCCCTCGTGTGATGCTACTCCATGTTTGTTTCTGTTTGTCCCCTCAGCTGCACTGGTGAGAGACGAAGGAATGTGTCACAAGTTGGACCTTATATCAGATTTAGGAAGAACCCACATGGCTGTGTTCACCTCATCGACTATAAAAACAAAATAAAAGTTCATAAAAAGCTGCAGGTGCAGTGGAAGGCCTGTGAATAAATGTTGTGTCTCCACTTCCTCCCATCTAGTGTCTGTGGCGAAGGACCAATCGATGAATCAGACTCCGGCAGCAGATTCTGACCGAGTCTTCATTCACGGTGTTGCTAGTTTCTGTTAGCACACGACTCTTCACGCTCTTATTCTGAACACGGAACACAAACATGGAGACGTCTCGTGTCCCGTCTCAGTTTATCTTCGTTGTTCAGAACAGAAACGTAAAACTCTTCAGATTCTTCACAAGGAGAAACGTTGAATCTTGATTATTAATTTATTTATATGATCCAATAACTAATTCAAACCAAACTTTGAACACTTGAACATAGATCTGTGATGATAGAATCAGAAATCTCTTCAATATTACTTTAACACAGTTCTATAGAACAGAACTCTTGTTATCGTTTGGGGCTAACGAGGTACTTGACCTCGGAACTACATATCCCACAATGCTTTGGGCGCGCTAAACAGGAAGTGAAGTCTTTGCGTGGGTCCAGTGTGGGACACAAGTTGAACCTCTTGTATTTTTAGCTTAGCTCTCTTTATTAGCACCATTTAACGGGTGCCGAATTAGCTATGAGTGCTTCCTGTTTACATCCTGCCACTGGATTCACGGACGGCTCGAACCGGATTCTGTTTATTCTGAAGAAAACTTAGAAACGTGATGATTCCGGGGCAAGTTCTGCACAAACGAGGAGCGCCGTCTCCCGGTGATTTCAAAGTGGATCTGTGGACGTTTTTCGCAGTGGACCTCGGATGTGAAGATGTCCTCGGAAAGTGTAAGTCACAGCGAATCTTAAAATGTGTGATGCATGTTCGAGTGTTCGTGTTTGACCGAGTTATCGGCGAGACAAAGTTAGACATTAGACGCTAAGTGCAACAATCATTGTCTATGTGAGTTTCACGTGTTTTAACCTGAGCGCTGCTGAACCGCTCTGTGTGGACTCACCTGGACAGGTGTGTTCACAATCAACACGAAGTTTGAGTTCTGATATTTCACAGTTTAACCATAAAGTTTATGAGAAAACACAAACACAACATTCATATAACCCAAATTAAGAAGCGAGGCTTATTTTATATATCAAACATATGAAGTTTTGGATCGGATCCAGAATTTTTTAATTGCTTTTGGTAAAATTGTGGAACGAGATTTCTTTAATATCCAGGAAATATTCAGAGATGTAGATAAAATAAATAATCGGTTTCTGTGAGTTTGTGCAATTTGGAGCTTCATTGAATTTCATTGAGGTTCTGTTCATGTGAACGACGTTCTGGTTTTGAAGTTGGTTCATTATTCTTCAGGTGTAATTTTGGTGCAGCCTCCTTGAGAAACGTGTGGATGATAATATATTAAAGTCTCTGGCGTGTTAAAGGGTTTGATATCTGAGCTTGACTGAATTTAGGTGGATTCTCGGGTGTTGGTGGAGATCTGAGCTCTGCGGAGTTATCTCTCGTTTGTTGGTCGGTTTGTTTGTTTATGAGCGAGAAAAACCACAAAAACCACCTGAGGGATTTTCTCTGAAACCTGGTGGACAGATTTTAATAAGTGTGCGGAGTTTGTTGCAGCCTGATTAGATTGAATGGGACTGTTGAGCTTCACTTTGTGTCATCACAACTTGAAATGAAAATCCACTGCAGCAATCCAGCTTGTTTGTCCACGACTTCATCACCAGTGGCCAAAGTGCATCAATACTCAGCTTCTCATTCATTTACATTAATGTGCTGCAGTCTGCCGAGGCCCCGGGGCCCGGTAATGAATGTAAATACAGAGAGGAAGCCAAAGAGCAACCAGGGAGAGCTAATCAATAAGCTTCAGTCTTCAGGGTGAACAGTGATTAACCAGGAGACAACAGACAGAGGGGGGGCTGGATAACGAGAGTGCACACAGAGGGATGGAGGGAGGGAGGGAGGGAGGGAGGGAGGGATGGAGGGAGGGATGGAGGGACAGACAGGCCACAGAAGACTGGAGACAGATGGAAGAAAAGATGACAGATGGAGAGAGGAGAGGAAGACCCTGGGAGGATGAAGAAAGAGAAGGAGGGCAGCACTGTTCTTTCTTTCTCTCTCTCTCTCTCTTTCTCATTTTCTGTCCATCTCTCTCTCTCTCGCTTCCCCTTTCTCTCTCTCTTTTTCTTTCTTTCACAGTCTCCATTTCTGTTTTTTCTTTTTTTCTTTTTCTCCTTTTCTACCTTTTTCTTTTCTCTTTCCATCTCTTTTTCGGTTTCTTCCCCTGCGTCACACCTTTAATAATCCTAATAATTCTGTTGAGGTTGAATTCAAGTGAAGCAGCATGTGTTCATTAATAATGTTGTTATTTTTGACTCATCACGTGTTGATGCAATGACAGAGTTGGTATCAAGTGAAGGAGACACGTCGTCCATCTTTATTTAAGCTGAGACAGTTAATCGGTCAAAGTTCTGTCTTCCTCAAATCTGCTTAATGTAAAGAGATAACATTTTGAGACTGTGTCCAGTTGCAACCCTGTAATTTATCACATGTGAAATAAAAATAGAGCAGATGTGAATCGGGTGTGACGCAGCCTCGCAGGTGGGTGAAAACGAAGGTGACGGAGGGAAGATGAGAGCGATGCAATTATCTGAGGCAAAGAGGGGTCACGGCCGAGACGGAGAGAGAGGGGAGGAAGAAAGCGAGGGGTGAGAAGGGTGGTGGAGGGAAGAGGAGGAGGGAGTAGGGCTGCCAGGAGGTCGTGAGGAGGGAGAGAGAGGTGTGTGTGTGAGAGAGAGTGTGATTTACTGTGTAAAGAGAGAGAGAGCTGTGAAAACACAATGAAATACGAGTTAAACATAGGAAGAGAAGTTAACTGCCTCCAGACGTATTTCAGCTCAGTTTCTACGTGTGTGAGTGTGTGTGGTAGAGTGTGTGTGTGTGTGTGGTAGAGTGTGTGTGTGTGTGGTAGAGTGTGTGAGTGTGTGTGGTAGAGTGTGTGTG